TTGGGGGGGGGGGGGTACACACGTAAACGCGTGCCGTGGTCGTTAGACATGGGGTGTGTGTGTCAGCGAGGGAGTGGAGACAGGACGGACTCGAGTCTTATGAAGCGGGGAGAGGACGAATTTTCCGAGAGAAGATGGTAATATCGGCGTGACACCTGATAGGTGGGGACATTGAAAGGAAAGGCGCGAGATGGAACGGACCAAGATCAAGACACAGATCGATCAACATCTTCCTTCAGGGAAAACGTCGAGAGCGAAAAGCAGAAGGGTGGCCCTGTTTCCGTGTTCGGGTGCGGCAGCGGTAGCGGCACAGTGTCTATCTAGGGTCAAGGTCTGATATGGGAGTCACGGACGCATCCTGCGGCCATCCCTGTCGTAGCGACACCGAGCGAGAAACAAGAGTTTTAACTTATGTTCATGGGAGTAGAACCTTGTCCACAGAACTCGTGTGTTTTCTTCCGAATGTTAATGTTTTCGTACGGGGTAAGACTTGCCACCTTCTTCCCACGAGCCCGAAAAAATGTTTCCGATCTCAGCTCCCTAAGGCTTGTCAATACCGCCCCCCGTTGGGTTGACGGAATTCTGTTGAACTTCCCGCCAGGCCCGACAATATGAACGAAGTCCGTCATACCCAACGCTACGGCATACTGTACGCACAAACCAGGTGACCTTTCGTGCACGCCTTGACACCAAAAACGCACCTACCTTCCGTCTCAACGAGATCCCGTCTCACCCCACGTTTTTTTTTTTAATCCTCACCTGTCGCCGGGCATGAGGAAGCGTGCCGCCGGGAGGGCGTTCACCCCTCGCATAGACGTGTAGAACGCCAGTCGCGTCCGGGGGTGTGCCTCCAACGCCGCCACGAGCTCCGCGGCCCCGGGCCTCATGTAGTAGTGGAGGGGGACGTTCTCCCCGTGGACAAACGCCGGGGCCCCCCACTTCGAGTCGCCGCCGCCGCCGCCGCCGCCGCCATCATTCGAAACCCTTAGAGGCTTTTTCGCTCGGTACAGCAAGGTGCCGTTCATGTCCAAGAGGATGAGAACCTGCTTGGTTTTCAAGGGAAGATCGGTGTCGTTTCCGTCTCTCGGCGGTACAGCACCGTTGCTGTCGCTAGAATGACTGGTGACACCGCCGCATCCGGCGGCAGGAGAGTCGGCTGCAAGTGGCTCCGCCGTATCTGTAATCGAGCCCGGCCCCCGGTGCCGTCGCGGATGGGCCAGGAGGTTGGTAGGAGGGCGGATGAGGTCGGCGACGGGAGGGCCTGCATCATCGCAGAGACCGACGATACGGTTTAGCTTCTCTTTCCATGGGCTGGTGGTGGGATTGCAGGAGGCGTTTACGCCAGTGCCGGCGGCGGCGGCGGTGTCACCGGTATCCGGAGGGGGGGCTGGATGTACCAATCGTGGTGCGCCTTGCGATGCAGCAGCCGCCGATGGTTTGGCAGCAGTCTACTGCGCAACACACGCAACGGAGCAACAACGGTTGGCCGTGGTCGACAGAAGACAAAAAAAAGAAAATGTTCAGAAAGGGTGAGCCAAAGCAACATAGGACTAGAGGTGAAATTGTCGTGGAAGGTGACGCTGAGATCTACGACAGGAGCAAACGCCGGGCGCAGGACAGCTACTTATCTATGTGGGCTGGTCTGCACTTTCGGGATTTTTTCGAGGTTGTGACGAACCGTGAGGCTGCAGCAGTAGCGGTTGCCGTAGCTGAACAAAAGGCACTACCCGCCCCCCCGGTGCGGCCTGAAAAAAAGCAAAACAGGTTCGGCATCACGGAATGGCGATCATCTTTGTATGCACGAGGAAAAACAAAAATTGGATTATTCTATACGGCGAGCGCTGGCTAGGCAAAGCGAACTTGGGGGGCAGTGTTGTTCAGAATCGAACAGAGGAAGCGCAGTGCACGCCCGCCGAAAACGGGCACGCCTCTCGCCATTTCAAACCCGCAACATGGGGGCCCAGGTTGTTCGAAGGAGGCTTTGTCCGACGTTACGCATTTCGATTCTTCCAAGGAAACACCACTTCCCGTGAAGTGCTGTACTGTAAACAGTGCCCAGATAATAAGTTTTTTCATCACGTATCTGTTAGTTGGTTTATGCTGGAAAATGCAAAGCTGTTGGTACCTCGTTTGCCGGGAAGATACGCAGTCGACTGCTGCATTCGCGCTAAATCGTGACACATCAGCCCAAGGCTCGCGGTGTCATCTCAGCGTGGGAACCAAGACTACTGCAGGCTCACATGCTTCCGTACCGCTGTTGCCTCCATCTGCTCCGCTTGCGCTCGTAGGCCTTAAGCTAATGACACGCCGCCGCCCTCTGGCTGTCCTCCACGCACCCTTCTGACGAGATGCGGAAACGAACAAAGAAGAAGCGTGAGTAACAGACGTGCCTTCACACAGGAAAAGACAGGAGAGCTCCTAGCCCGGCGCTTGCGTCCCTGCTTCGTGTGCAGGATGCGCAAACCATACTCACACGCACAAACAACCCCGAGAATGTTGTGCCCGCCATCCCGCGGGAGGACCCTGTCACGCGTAAGTATCCCTTTGCACGCTTTCCCTGCTCCCCGAGGGCGAGTACAAACACTAGTCGGATACATACACAGCGCCATTGCTTGTATGCACACTTACCTTGGATTTCACCGCGTTTGCCGAGCCCTCGTGATCTGTGTGTGGTAGTATTTTCTGTTGTTGGCCTTGACGCTGTGTCAACCAAGGCGTCAGGATACTGCCGTACTGTAGCCGCAACAAAGTCCCCAAATCTACAACTACTAGCCAAAAAAATGTTATTGAATGGTCGGGTGTGTAAGATTATGGGCGCGTCTTAGCCCCCCGTTTCAAAACAGGGAACATAGAACAGGGAACAGGGAACTCGGAACTCGGAACTCGGAATCATTGTCTGAGTGGGCAACCGCGCAACATAACGTTCCTGGCAACAAGAAAATACTTTTACAGGTTCCTCCTCTTGGATAATTGCGCCGCACTATCAAAATGAATGAACTCTATCATAAAAATACACCGTGTGGAACGTGGAACTCGGACTCTAGGGTGGCAACTCAGGACGGACGTGGTGGGATGTTTGTGGTTACCCTTGTGGGGCATAGGGCTGCCACAGGTGCTGCATGTGCCACCGGCAAGCGATATAGGCATTGCCACCACCATCAGGTGTCTCGCTCGCCATAAAAACGGTTGCGGATGCTCGTGTACCCGTTGTTTTTTGGGAAGATACAGCAGTGTCAAAAGAAAACGGCAAGCTGCCGTTGACCGCAACTCCCAAAGCAAGCCTTCCAGAGCACTCTCGAGGGTGCGGATCGCACGACGAGCACCACCTGCTCTAACTGAAGGCACACTTGTGAAATCAAGTGCGCTCGCGTCAACAGGTTCCTTCAAACCCTACACCACTCCCTCCTGTTCTTGAGATTTTTTTCAGTACATACATATGTACAATCACAGAAATACTACTAATAATACCCGTTCGAGATATAACCACAACGTTAGTCGAAAGGGATGTGTGAAGCCTTTTCAGTGAGTGGCGGGAAACCGGCTGCCCCCCACTCGTCTTTCTCTGGCCTTGAGTAGAATACCTACAGGCCGCGCTGAAACGTTTCGTGTTCCATGCCTAATGCTGGTGCATGTGGTACGGTAAAAAGACACACCGGCATGGAACAGGAACAGTTCCTGTTGTGGTCTACACGCCCACACCCAGGCAAGAAAAGGAACACTGGGGTTGTGGAACGTTACTGAGCACTGGTACTGAATCGTGAAGAGGAAGGACAGTGGCAACTTCGCAATAAATTTCGGGGAAGTTGCGGCGGGATATATGGACGAAGCAAAAGCGACAGAGAGGATTCATGTGTCTCCTTCCGTCAGGCGGCGAGTGCGCGATCAATCCGCTGTCGAGTCCACCGAGTATTAGGCACAAGGTCTGAGGGAGGAACGGGTTCGAGCGAGTGATGAGCAGAACAAACTCACACCATCAACACGCGAGAGGGCCTAGCAGAGCAGAAGCCACAAAAAAACAGAAGCGCGGAGAGACTGCTCCAGACCAACAGATACCACCTGCTGGTTTTGCTGTAAGATTGTGGACAACAACACAACACCACTGCAGTCAGTCGCATACAATCGCGACCACCATAGAAGAGATGGAGGATGTGACGATTTGCCTCGAGACGAGAATCTCGGTGAAATCGGTTATCGTCGGTAGGCACAAGGGCTCCACCCGGGGGGTAGATACTTGACTTGGTGCAGCCAACAGCAGTGTTGAAAATTAAAATTCTACCCGCAATTTAGGAAAGGATCGTGCTGCTGTGGCGGTGTGCTCTCTGCCGGTAGCTAGCTGTGGGAAGCATCTCGCACTATTCGGTCGTACAGCAGTCCTACTCCGTATACCCTCACTGCGGTCCTTCCACCTAGATGGCCCCGATCGCCACACACTCATACCGTCCACTTACCTCACCAGAAAACACGGAACGGAGTCGAACGCTGCTGGCTGGCTGATGTCCAAATGCAGAACTGTTACGACTGCTGTGGTCATGATTGTGGTGCGTTCTGTGCGTTGCTGACCTCTGCAGTGGCCCCGTGGATTGGAATACGTGTGTATGTACAATCAAGGTGTCAATAGAGAGCGGTGCAATCATAGCTAGCCGCACTTGGCGCTCACTCACTCCCGTACACTTCGCGCCCCGCTGATCTGCTGCTGCTGCTGCTGCTGCTGCTGCTGCTGCTGCTGCTGCTGCTGCTGCTGCAGTTGCTCCCTCAATCTCTGTTGGCGATAGTTCACGGTGAGCGATACCGGGACAAATTCGACATCTGCTCGCCGGTGTTATTGTTCCCTTTGGTTACCGCAATTGTACACGTAGGTTGTACATATCGTATAACGACAGAAGATAACGCACACCGTGGACCGATTTTCAAACGTAGACCCCTCAACAGCAAAAAGAGCCACAGCGCTGAAAACGGTGGCGTTGAAGCCGTCTCGTCGAGACCTTTCCGAAAATGTATTGTTTCGTTTTGCATCCTCTTCGTCGTGGCGTAGTCGAGCTTTGAAAATCGATCCAGGGTGTGTGTTATCTTGTGTCGTAGCGGTAAGCAAGTAGCTGCTGATATTTTGCTCCCGTAGATGTATGTGGGTCGGGTAGCTCACATTGCCTGACACCGCTCTGTCGGAGTCGACGGTGGCGGGTGCCCAGAGAGAGAGAGAAAAGCGTGGGCTCACCACGTTGCAGGAGATTCGCACGGAAGTATATGTGTACCGCCATGCGATGTTCTCGATTTCTACGTCTGCGTGGTTCGCCGCTCCGCATTCGTGCCGCGTACTCCAACCCGTCGTCTTTGTTTTGCGATGCCAAATCACTGCTGTGCTTTGTACTGCGTGTAGAAAGAATGTACGAAGAACCGTTGGAGAAAAACGTCGTGCAACAAATTCCCTTTGTGTTGGGAGAGAGCAGCAGCGGAACTTGTACAATGTAGTCTACTGCTGTGTAGATCACCGCGCAAGTGATGCCCTCTTTGTGACGGGTAGACTACACCAGTAGAAGTGGATCGCGAGTGTTGTACTGCTGTATGCACATGATCCCAGATTTGCAAACTTTCCTGACCGCAGCTGCAGCCTTCGAAATCAATGTCCCAGAAACACAGACAGATAGATCTGGGCGTGCCAACGTGCGTGTCTCGCTGCTCCGTGAGGGTTTCTACCGGTTTAGCACCAAACAACCACAAGAACAATGCCAACGAAGGCCGATGCCGTGCCGAACTCCCTGCACTACAGGCTGCCATGGATGCTGCCCTCTTCGCCCAGTCGGACGTTGCCTCTTGCCTGGTGGAGTTCGTCGACTACGAGCAGTTCCTCTTTTTCGCAGGCGTGTGCCGGGCGTGGAAGGAGGCATGGGGGCAGCGCCCACCCACCACCCGCGCCGTGACGGAGGATACTACGGTGGCCCAGCTGTCGCAGAACTTCCAGTGCGGCCTGTCCCTGATAGCCGACGTGTGCACTTCCGTCGCTAAGCTCGGTAGGCTAGACCTCCTCCAGTGCGCCCGTCGTCACGGCTGCGCCTGGAACGAGGTGACCTGCATCGCGGCTGCCGGCGGCGGGCATCTCGAACTCTTGCGCTGGTGTAGAGACAACGGGTGCACCTGGGATTGGCGGACGTGTGCGTCAGCCGCCGAAGGCAACCAGCTGGAAGTCCTTCAGTACGCGAGGGGGAACGGCTGTGACTGGAACAAGTACACGTGCTCCAGGGCCGCATGGAAGGGCCACCTTGCTACTCTTCAGTGGGCTCGCGCGAACGGATGCGCTTGGTCCGCGGAGACCTGCTCGTCCGCCGCCGACGGGGGGCATCTCGAAGTGCTGCGTTGGTGCCGAGAGAACGGCTGCAGCTGGGATGAGGGAGTATGCGCCCGGGCTGCGAGCAAAGGTTTCCTGCACATCATCAGGTTGGACGATGCCGGTGCTGCTACTTTTGTTGGAAACATCGGTTGTGGTAGTTGTCGTTGTCGTCGTTAATTGTTTTTGTAGCCACGTTCTGTGGCAGCCCTCTGCTATTCGAAACTGACCATGTTTTTGGGGATCGTTACATGGATTTGTGTTTATGGGGGGATACTACCCTCGCTACAACTCGGCACGGGGTCCACCCAAAACGTTAGTTCCATCCGTCACATGGTGTCCAATCCGAGAATCGGCGGTCTCAATACATTTCTCCGTGGCCCCTGGTCTGGAGCTGTGTCACCCGCACAAGCTCACTTCCTGTTCAAGTTGTCTTGTTCTTCGCAAACAATCCAAGTAAAACCGCACCCATGACCGAAAACCTTCTCCCACATCCACATGCCACCTTCGAGGCTCACACTACCGCCGTTCCAAGCGCGCCCTTCGATCTCGGTACGGATCGAGAGGCTGCTGTCGAAGAGGTCTGGAGTGGTCAATTTCATCCGGGTCATGTGGTCGTTCCCCTTTTGATTGATCTCTTGGCCATTTCAGGGTCCTAAAGAGATGTCTTGAGACTTGAGACTTGAGACTGCCCTCGTTACACCTCAGCTATAGTAGTCACGGGATCCACCCAAAACCTCAACTTCTCCATCCGTCACTGTTGTCTGACGCCCTTGGTGCGCTTTTTTTAGTGGGGAGTTTTTTCGTGTGTGTGTGTTTTCGACGTTTGCATGTTCAATATTTTCGATCTGTGATGCTGGATTCCGATTACCGACAGATGGGCGAGAGAGAATGGATGCAACTGGAACGAACGTACTTGCATTTCCGCGGCCGCAGCCGGACAATTGGGCGTGCTTCAGTACGCCAGAGAACACGGCTGCCGCTGGGATGAATGGACATGTGCGTTGGCTGCCGCCTCTGGACATCTCGGGGTAATTCAATGGGCGAGAGAGAATGGATGCCCTTGGGATGGGAGTACTTGCAGTCAAGCGGCTGGGCACGGCCACCTTGATGTGCTCCGGTGGATACGAGAGAATGGTTGCCCCTGGGACGAGTTAACTTGTCGGTCTGCGGCAGGTAGGAACCTCGACAAAGTCACCGAGTTCGCTCGAAAAGCCATGTGGTACTAGAATTATGCCGTATTGTACTGTGATGATGATGGTCTTGTTTTTGGAATACGTGTGCTTGTATTCATGTTGATTTGTTCGTCCCAAAGCAACGTTGACGAGTTTGACGAACAGTTGGTGTTCAGTCTCAGGTTGACATGTACCATGCGTGATTCCTCAGAAACGATTCTGCCGTGAAAGGGCTTGCGTGAAGGAGTAGTCTATGTGCAGCTGAATGCGTCCGTCATTTTCGGAAGGAGCTCGTTGCTCTGTGCGATAACCCGGATTTGGATTCTTCAGTAGACGTGCACTTCTGTGTAAGACGGAGACGGGGGCAAAGTCGGAACCGAACGGGTTTTGTGCGAGAAAGAGAAAAAAAATAGGTCGTGGAATGGAGTGGGGCAACCCTCACGGAAGGGTGCCCTTGTCTCTTGTTGTCCTAGATCTATCGCCGAAATTGGCAAATTAGGTCGTCTTCAGCTTCGCCACCGCCGCCATCGGCATGACTACATCTACCCACCCAAACGATCCAAAACCTACGGCGTTGATCGAGGTTATATCTTGAATTTTTTGCCGTTGGACAGAAGATTGTGTCTGTCATTTCACCTGGAGAGACTAAGCAACGACTGAGTCCATGCCCTGGAAGCTCTTGCTTGCTGAGGGGCCAGTGTTGCCCTGGAATTCCCAACAAACGTAGGGCTACCCTTTCCTTAAGCATTACTCTGAACGAGACGGAGACGAACTCTCTTGTATTGCGCTGTGTAAGCGTACTGCAATACAAAGGCCAAGCCCAGCTGCCTGCTCGCTTCCGTACGGAGAATGATGGTTGGTGTATTGCACATGTTTGCTGCTTAAAGCATAGACCGTGTTCGTGCAAAAGCTAGAGGAGCTTGTGAGGCTGGTGGCGGGCGGTTGGTTCGTGTCGCTCAGTAGTAACATCGTTGGGCGACCCCCCTTTTCCGGTAGTTTGGCGTTGTGTTTTATTGTTTCCGCTCTCCTCGGTATGTAGGTGCCTCGAGTACTACAAGGGTCAGTGGCGAGGTTTGTGTGTGTTGTCTCTGCACTTGTGCAAAGGATTGCCGAAGGTTGGGGGTCCATACTGAACCCGCTCTTACTCGATTTCCTCGCTCGCCGTCGATCGAGTTCTGAATGCACGTGTATCGCGTTTGTTGCTGTTCTGGCCACAGGGAGCGGGCATCTCGCCGTTCTTCAGTATGCCAGAGAGAATGGTTGTCCCTGGGATGCATCAACCTGCTCGCACGCGGCCGAGAGTGGCGGGCTGAATATGCTTCAATGGGCAAGAGCGAACGGGTGCCCATGGGATGCTTCTTCGTGTGCTGCGGCTGCCGCGGGGGGCATATGCGTATCCTGGAGTGGCTAACGAGTAACGGGTGCCCGATGGACGAGGACACATGCTCGTTTGCAGCCAGGGAAGGGCACCTAGAGGTATTTCAACGGTCCAAAGGTCTCTCACGTATGGTTGCTTGCCGTGAAGGCATGGACGTATTTCGTGATGGTGCTTGCAGGGATGTTGTTCCGTACCGCGCAGAACCCGCGTAACCGCCATATCTTTCGCCATCTTGCAGGCAGACAGGGGGACTTACGAGTCTTCGTACTTCCTATCTAGGTGCCATTTAATAGGGAGGGGTAATGAGCCACGGGGTACGACTCAATACCTGACACTAAGTAGTCTATCTGCGATGCTGTGCAAGGTGCGAGACACGCTGCTTCCAGGCAGCAATGCATCAACCCAGAACGCGCAATATTCGAACGGATCTTGCAAGACCGGTGCACCCGCTCCCTGTGTTGAATATCACACATCGATGGCGGAGGAGCACACACACATGCTCGCCTATGCTACAGCAGCACCGCCAAACGATCGGCACCTGACAGTACCGACACAGACACAAATGAACAGTGGTAGCTTTACACGAATGCACCTGTAGTGCTGCTGTGCTGCTGTAGTAGCAATGACTCCCATCTATCTTATTCGGCAGCAGTGCATGCACGCGAGAAAAAATCACCCTGGCGCCTGGGACACAATAAAGGGCTCTTCTTGTGGCATTTTTTCCCGTGGCACAGGTAGGTTTGTTTCCGGATGACCCCTCGATGCAACAGCAATATCAACAGTTCCGCCCCTAGTTGTGTCCATGCTCCGGCTTGTGTGGTGATCAACACCGACCAGGAGGCTGTAGGACGCTCAGAAATTAGAGTCTGGCACAGCCTGAAAAATCCCGCCGCGTCTGCTGGGATCAGTTTGGGTTTTTGTTGCCCCAGGCGCACGTTTGGTTACCGATGGTCTCTCCCCACACACTGAAGCAACAGCAATGACAGTGACATCCGCCACGAGCTGTATGCATGGCTCCCTTCCCTCGCCATTGCTGTCTTGCCCCTTCTAGCGGTGTTGCGTGTTTAGCTGAGTGCTTCCTGGGTTTCTCCTGGCTTGAGCCGAGCAACGCTTGTGTATGCGTGGGAGATCTCCGATATGTTGTTCGTCCATTACTTCTACAACTTCCCGGGAAAGGGGTCAAAATGGTCTGTTGTTTCCGTTTTTGAATCACTCATAGAAAGTATTGGATTTGCTTGGAGAGGCCTCCTGTCCCGGCAGGAGGACCTCACTCCTTTGATATGGTGTCGCGCTGAGTGGTTCGTTTTCGCACTGGATCGGGGGTGGCTCCTGCCTCCTCTCCGGCTCCCGCTTCTGAGGCGGCTCCGGCAGCCGCTCCGGCAGCCGCTGCCGCTTCCGCGCCGGCACCGATGGCCCCTCCGGCGCCCTAGCCACCGCCGGCGGCCCCCTTACAGCCCAATCTCGCCACGGCGACGGTGGTCGCCTCTACCACACCTCTGGCGGACCTGCCATGCATGGCCGTTTTGGGTCTGGTGGGCAGTTATGCATGCACCGAAAGTCAGCATTACGCCATACTGCTGGGCAGCCTACAGTACACGGCAAGAAGTGAGCAGATTGACTCAGACGGAATAACTGCTGATCTCAGGATCAAGACACAAGGCCGGTCTCGGCCGCTGTAATCTACTACCTCCTCGCGGACGATGATGGCATGCGCGGGCGTGTTCATTTGCGATTCAAACGCCGAACGTCCGCGTTGCTCATACTCGATCCATCAGTCGTTGTAGACCTGATAGTTGTCATCTGTGAAATACTCCAATCTCCCCATGCTGCGTTACATTGGAGCAGCCTCCAGTCTCGTCACCCTTAATGTTTCTTGTGTGTTGATCCTCCCTCTGTTCCGCAGGGGTGGTAGCATGGTCACGCCTTGGTCCGAACGTTCGTTCCCAAAAAAATAGGTCCGAGAATGTTGGATCTTCCACCACAAGAGACAGATCTATCTCAAGTGTATGCCTGCCTAGCCTACGAGCAGAGGTATGGAGTGCCGCTGCAGTTCGGTGTGTTTCAGAACGAAGAGATGACTCCCGGGTCAGTTTTTTGCTTGGATTCTGCTATTTGAGGAGTGATCACAAGGAGCGAGTGCGCATTGTGCTTAAGAGCTCAAAACAATACAACAATAACAACAATTGTACATGATCCCGAGGTCTCCGTCTCGGCTGAGCTGTTGGGTGCATCCGTGCTGAATCCGTTCCCCTTCTGAGGTCTTCCCGATATTACTATGATTTTCGGGACAAATGCCTGCCAGACACGGCCATCTGTTGTCGGAGCGCGATGAATCCGGTGTGTGTGACGAAGAGTGCCCTAGTTAGCTTCCCTCACAAAGCCAGCAGGTCGAAAATCGGTGCTCTATGGCCCTTGTTCTGGTCGATTGTCTACAGGTGATTATTTTTGACGTGGTGCCATGATTATGTGGAAATTGCGGAAGGGCCCCTCCATCGCGTTGGGTTGGAAGAGCCCGGTATTTGGAGCCTCCCCCCCCCCCTGGAGATGAAGGGGAAAAATGTCGCGCTTCGCGCTCCACGGCTCATAATCATCATCACAATCCCCACGCCACCAACACACAGGTTCTTCGATGGGCTCGAGAGCACGGCTGTCCCTGGGATGATACCACGTGCCGGGAGGCTGCCGGAGGTGGCCATCTTGAAGTGCTCCAGTGGGCCCGTGCGATGCATTGTCCGTGGAACGTTGAAACCCTCGAGGTTGCGAGCATGTGCTGCAACTTTCACGTGGTTAAGTGGGCCACAGAGAACGGGACCGCCTAGCTTGCCCCCGGGCCGGCGTGCCTCAACATATCAAAATTGCTTGTCAATCAAAAACCTTCGTAGCGATTCAGCGCCAGCGCTGCCAGCAGGCACATCATGCAGCCCGGCGTTGTCTTCCGCTTTCGGTTTAATCGACAAAGCAATAATATAGGATGCAAAGGGTGGAGCAAGGAAACCTTGTTGCGATTGACGGAATATTTTGTCACGGGACGGCGGTGCCGAAGCTTGTGTCACCTTGGCACACTCGCGTTTCCTTGGACAAGATGAAGTACCAGCGCCAATTTGTCGGGGGTAACGCGTTTCGCATGGGGTGGGTACGGAGGAGAGGAAATAAGTTCTGGCGATCATCTTGCTAAGCTGTTTCTTTGTTCGCCAATGGTGTAGGTACGCTCGTTACGCTGCTTGAACCGCGGCTGACCAGCTCTCGGCGGTTCTCATCCTGTATTCGCTCCTTGTAGGAGACTACTGGTGTCCTCTATTATCCAGAAACTACGATGGGTTAAAATTTCCGTTTTTTGCCGAGTCGCTGCCGTTGGAAGGGAAAGCATATACCCGCCAGCGGGGTAGAATTGGCCAGCTAACATGAGAACGACAAAAATAAAGTGCGAATGCCCACCGATTGGCGGTAGAACCGTGCCACGAGCACGTGAAAACACGGTTTCGAAGTACTTGATTGGGTACAAGCCATTATTGTTGTCGGCCTGTTTGTTGTCTCCGTCTATCGTGGGGTAGAATCGTGCGCGCGTGGCCTATGAACATGCGATTTTTTACGATTTGAAGCCATGAACAAAGCATGTTCGGGGCTTCGTGTTTGGGTGGTGCTGTAGGTGTCCCGTGTTTCTCAGCAACTCGCAACATTTTTTTTTGTTAAATCCATGCAAGTGGCGTCTACCGTAAAAGGGAACTCATGAGGTTGCTCAAGCTTCGTAATGGGTGTGAGGAGCGCCGATTCCGTGGCGAGGTCTGCGCAACATGGTTGATGCGGACGGAATCAGGGGTTTAGAATTGTACAGTATGTGCGAACCCGAATAAATCACGTAACACGTGGGCATGCGCTCAATGCTCTCTTTCTTTCCTAGGAAGGCGTCTGCGTCGCCAGTGGGACCGGTGTGGATGGTAGAAAGGAGTGGGCAGAGACCGGCAAGGTTTTTATTTTCTTAAGACATGAAGTATTTACGCTGTTTTGCTCTGTCGTTCTGGCAGGAGAAGCGAACAGGGTTCCTGAATACGCAAATTTTACGATGCTTAGGTATGCTCCAACCTCCTGAGATTGAAGTGAGACTTGTGCAAGATGTCTACTTGGTTCCGCCACGGCAATCCGTGCGACGGCCTATGCTGCGGCCTCGTCATTGCGGGACCCCCTTGAACAGAAGGGAGCATGGGTAGGCGTCCCAGTCCTTCTGAGCGGAAATGGGATTTTGTACCTTTGACAAGACTAGGAGCAGAGCGTCATGTTTTAAAGGAAGCATGACAGCAGTCGGGTGGTGGTATCAAAGACAAAGGGGGGTGGCAACTACTGTCCGGTGGGCGCTGCTCCGACATTCTCATCCCAAATGCCGGGAACCAAGACAACGCGCCGAAACTTCTGGCGAGAATTAGGGGGTTTGGGGCAGAGCCCTTGCTTTTGACATACCTCGCGCGCGAGGACACAACGTTTCGATTTAATTTCTTCCAAACCACTCGACGTACAGTCACGATTCACTTCGCAGCCAGCAAGTCTTATTAATCTTCGACGAAACTTGGCGGCGATGAGGCCGTGACCCACATGTTTACATGTTCCTCCTCGGTGTATCCTATTGAATATTTACAGTCGGAAGCACGAGCTTGTACGTCGACCATGCAAAGAACATACGCTAACGAAAAGCCCGGGCAGTCGAAAATGCCAATGCTACAACAATAACCGGCAATGTGACCGTCTCGTGGCCAATTTTCCCAAGCACATCGAGCTTCTCCTTGAATCCGGCCGTGCTGAAGACGGGAAAGGGCTGGGTCGTGCCTTCACATCTGCAGCAACTACCGGTGGCGGTCTTCGTGGCAAATCTGGAGCAGCATCCTCCCCTCCACCGTTTGTTCCTCGCCGAGCATCTGACCCCTCGCCCGCCTTTCCGCTTTTTCGTATTCTTGGCGCGCTGGATTTCTTGCGCCACGCAGCCGACTTTGGAGGCACCGCCCCCCCACGCGGTCCCCTCGCTCCCTTCCCTCCAGAGCCCCTGCGTCGTCGACCACCTTCAGGCTTGCCAGAGCTGTGGAGAGCCTTCTTGTAGGGTAGGTCGAGAACGCCATGCATTTCCTCACTAGAAGAGTCACTAGCACTGCTCCATGGCAGGTTTCTCGGCGCAGATGTGGCTGACATTGATGTCACCTGGATCCGTTGGAACTTGTAAGAACTGCTACGCCTGCTACGGTCGAGCGGCGGAAAGTCTTTGGAAGGTGGCGGTGGCGCGGGCGGCGTACGTTGACGCGCAGCTAAATCCAGGTAAACCACCTTCCACGCGCCACTGCCCAGGTGATGTCGAGGGATACAGACAAAGGAGGGTGCGACAAGACGAGAGTCAGCAAAAGCCAGATGTTGAAAGCAATACCTGACATGCGTGCTTGAAAAGACGGTCGAACATATTTTCTAAAACAGTCACTTTGGCGCTACGCATAGGGGACTTTACGTAATCGTGGTATCCTACGGCAGGCGTGAATTTTCAAGTGTCTCTCGCACCCCCTACGCACAAGAGTCCTCCTCGCCCCACCCGAACCATTCTCGCTACACTCGTGATGCCGTAACGCTGGGTAGTACTCGATCTTTACCTGCTGTGAGAGTCACCGTGGAATTCCGACAGCTCCTGAGGCATGAGGTTTTGGCATGTCTTCAGAATCTTGGCAATGTCTAGACCCGAGCTGACCCCTCGCCATTCCAATGCCTCGAGCAGTGGAGAGCCTGGCCTTACAAGAGGTTGGAGACGCTTCGGAAGAAAACTCTTGCCCCTGTCTGTCATCGGCAGCATGCAAAGACAAGCAATTGAAGCCGGCAGGGGTGGCGCTCCAACAACTGGTACGGCCAAATTGGCGAGCTTGTCTTCACTCGCGAGCTTCACCCAGGAGACGATGTCCGCGCACGAGGGCGAATAGCGCGGGCTGTATCTCCAGTAGAAGCTTGGCACATATCCGTCGATGTACATTTGCAGATTCCAGAGAACCCCCAAAAGGAACGACTCCACATCGAACAGTGGTGTCTTGCCCTTCCGACTGCTGCATTCCCTCCCATTCTCTGCACCAGAATCTTTATCAAGGTTCTGACAGCAGCAGAAAAAAGGACAAAACGTGAGCGACAAACAGAAGAATCTCACAGCAAACATTTTGTGTGCTCAACAGGTGTCGTTAGACTAGGGGGGCGGCGGGTGGCAAGCGACTTCGCAGGAGTTCACGAGCAGGACGTGTTGTCAACCGCGGGTCAGCGCAAGCATATTGTTAATCTGAGACATTACGGCCCAGTCGTTGTATCGTATCTGTGTTGGTCACATGCCCGTGCTCGTCTAAAACGCGTCCGTTCGTTCTGTTTTTCTGTATTCCTTTTGGGGTTGGCGGCCCGCATGCCGCATTTGACCATGTACAAATCCGACTTTTTTGGTGGTAATGTTCTTTTTTATCTGGTGGGACTGCATTTTTTTCTCACACTTTCTTCTACATGACACTCAGAGGACCCGTCGGTACAATACCCATTACGTGTGAGGCTCACGAGACATCGGTGGTGCACGTGATGGCCGCTGAAAAGTCGCTGGGAAAAAGCCTTCAGAGATATACTTCGGATAGTACATGAAAACTGAACAGGAATACTTTCTAGCGGGTGGTTTCTTCTTTGATTCCTGCGCAACGCACACAAGCCCCACAGACCATGGGGGCAACACAAATACATAAGAGCGCGTGATCAAACGCAGCGGATTACACCAGTAGGACCTGCAACAAAGACGTAATCACTAAATAGCCTAAAAAACACACACTCACGCACACGGAAAAAGCCACAGCGAGAAAAAAGTTACCCCGGACATGACGCAAATTTCTCCAGGCAAATTCTGCAGGAAGTACGCAAAACCGGCACTCACTATGAACGTCATATTTGAGATGCAACGATGCAACCGCGATGCAATGACCATGTTCTTTTGCGTCGCCCCTGGGAGGCAAGTCACCTAACTCCCCAAGGGGAGCCTTGTACATTATACCAACCATCTAGCGCACGCTGGATCTTTCTATCTGTCCGAAAAACCTGGCTCGACTACTGTGGTCACCACAGTGGGACATCTCTGTGTGTGACGACATTGCACAGACTACGTATACTCCCGAGTCTCGTGGACGTCCGTCATGTCTGTGGGTGCCGTGCTTGGACAAAACCCGAAACACAGCAGCAGTTTGTTCGGTTCCACTTGTCTCTTTTGCGGATATCAACACTCTGCGTGTCGGGTAACTGCTGCGTGATTGTGCCAGATGAGTGCATCTTCCGCGAAATTTCGTGCAAAACGAGCGATTGAACGGTCCAGCCGTTATGAAATATCGGTGGCAACCAAACAGCAGCAGCAGCAGCAGCAGCACGGCAGTCAATGCAACAAATAGGTAACCATAAATCAGTCGATACAACCGTATGTGCCCACCGACCGTCGCGACAACTGCAACCAGCTTTCAAGCCGCGCGTCCGTTGGAGATGTCGGGTTGAAACGTGATGAAAGTGGCGGACCCCCCCACGCTGTGGTTCAAGAAAAAGTGGGATCTTCCTGTTTCATGATAGAGTATCTTCCTTGGTGGACAGGTCGACCAAGCTGTCGAAGGTCCGCGGTACGTGCAACCACCCCGACTTGCACCGCGCACCACCGGAACGCCGCCTTCGCCCCTCGTCCCATTTCTCATCAGGTACAAGAACCTTCTGACGACCCTCGTGCGGTCAACCAGAAGCTTCTTGTACCTGGTGAGGAAAAAGCGAAACAACGATGGTGGTCGAACGTCCTCCTGGTCGCCGTGCAAGTCCAGGTGACTGCACGTACCGCGGATCTCCGACAGCTTGGTCCTCACGACCTCCCCAAGCAGGAGGATACGCGGTAATCAAACCGGAAGATCACCTTCTTGAACTATAGCGTGGGGGCGCCCGCCAGTCCCATCACGTTCACCCTGACAACGCCTCCGTCGGATGTGCGGCCTGGTCAGCCTCAAAACATTCCATCCGTCAAAACCTTCGCCGCTCAATAGCGTCGTTTCGCAAAACTAGTCGATGGGGGCCTATCGTGTGGGTCGGCGATATCCGCAGTGGTGCGCCGACTCTTTGCTTTGACCCACTTCGGGCGCAAGGTTGCGTGTTTCCGACCGTGGCCCTGAGAAACTGATGGAATTGCTCCACAAAAATACGGTGTGTCACGAAGCTAAAAGTGTTGTCTGGGCGCCACTGGTGTAGCTCAACACCTTGGCGGGCGAACACTATGAACTGTAACAATTCCAACCCAAACACAGAAAAAACGTTTACCGAAAATCTACCGGGAAAAAAGAATCCTCCCTTCAGGAAGGCATGATATGACCTGTGAGCCTCTGCTGTGTCCGGCAAGATGCTACGAACAAACCACGTTGTCCCTCCTTCATGATCAATACACTGCACGGTAGAACTTAACTGCAAATAGCAGGATGCATGGTTAAAATTGTTATGATGCTGTTCAGCATCGCGCGGGGTGGCGATGTGCTCGGGGGCAGGCGTGGAACACAACAAGATAGTCGAACAACGTTTCTCGGTTGCCGCACGGAGATCGGAGCCATCGCACTTGTCGGAGCCATCGTGCCGAGGTACGCAAAAAGGCAACAACGACATTGTCATCTACATGATCATGCAGGTGGTCATGACCCAATTCTTCCGGCAACGAAACATAGAAAGAGCGCTGTGGATGCGCTCGAAACGTACCGAATCGATGTCCTCGTTCTCCTGATCAAGCTGGGCTTGCTCCAAAAGGCGGGCTTTCTCTTGCTCCAAAAATTCGTCATACAAATCTGCCGACAAGGGCATGTGTTGGCTTTAGGACGAAGCCAGTACTAAAAACGAGGACGTGCCCAGTTTGCATGGGATCTTCTAGCTCCCGTAGATCGGGTCGGGACTGGTTGACGGTGGTGAAGAGTAACTTCACGTGCATACAAAACGTTTCATGTAAATGTACGCATTTGGTGTATCACCCTGTACTTTTCGCCAAGCACGCATCATTGCCCCTTGCTTTAATGCCGCGGATGATGCCTGTGGTGGAAAGTACTAACCCCCGCCCTCCCGCTTACTTACGCACCTGGCAACAGTTCCTCCAGCAGTTTTTCCGCCGCTAAGTGCATCACAGTCTTCTTTTTTCCAACATGCAAGAAGTGGTAGGTGTACTCTTTCCCCCGCACCCAAGTGACGGACTTCCATTTCTTTGTGCCGCCTGACGATCCGGAAACTTCATCTGACAAGTCGTGCACTTCGATTTCCACGCCATCCCCAAGTCTCCCTTGCTGCACTGCCTACCGCAGTTGAGCGGAATGGCCGGACCAACAGAGCGAGGCGGGCATATGCTGAGGTCAAATTCACAACGCACGTGAAACTATCGGGGCACCTACGCAAAAAATCTTGTTTTCACTGACGAAAGAGCGATCTGGACATTGAACAGGTACCTGCATTGTGTAGTGCCGAATCTTGCAATTTTTTCTTCTACTTTGAGAGCAGCTGTAGCTGTCTGCGGGCCAAAGATATTTCGAACCTCTCCATGGATCGTGGGCACACAGTTCATTTCTAAATGACTTGAGATACGTTCGGCAGCAGCTCAAGCCAGGGACGCTGGTTTCCGCTGATCTCACCGGAGGTGCCAATAGAAAACAAGCCGAGGTAGACACTAGAATAACGAGACATCGTGATACACGCACGTAACGACGTTCCCGATACGTCACCAATGTGCTCACCATCTTAAACACCGATCCAGCAGGTGGATAGCGATTGTTCAGATCCATTTGCTCGAGGCTGACGGCAAGGTAACCTTCCGCCTCCGCGACGATGCTCGGTATCATGTCAGCCAACAGGTCTTGCAGAAATTCCCAGCAGATGCTCTTCTTGTCCCCGTCGACCAAGAAGTTGTCACTGGGCAAGGCAAGAAGGACACCCCTGTTTGATTAAATGTCGTCAGCTCTAATACCAAAGCCGGCGGCTACGATACCAACGCGGGATGTTGAGAGCCACCGAAAAAGTTATGTCAGAGCACCATCGACATAGAGTCACATTCTACCTACGTATGTAGACCAATGGACCTTTAAAGTTGATTGAAGGAGAGCCACCAGTGGGCCGAAAAGCAACGGTCTCTCGTGGCGCAATCAATCTCTTTCAGAATGAACTGAGCATCTCCCCCTACGAAAGAGGCACCGATCCCATGCTAGCCTGCTTAAGTCCACAAGCGGATAAAGAGCGGCTCCACACGAAAATGGGTCGTGTTGACCAATCAAACACGAATGTGCTGCACGGTTTTAGATTTGCTGTCGCGCTGTCAACACGGGTGTCCCTCCTGCAAGCACAGGTTCCCATAGAAATGCCGCCGGAGGGCGACAAAGGTGACTCTGGGGCGCGCTACTGAGGCCACATGGCGATGCGACTCCGACAAGAATCGACCCACCAAGAGTAAGACACTCCAAACACGGCGCGGCAAAGGCTCACCGGTGCTTCCCCCTTTTGAGCGCTTGGTACGCCTGGAAACAGCGACTGAAGGAGACCCCTCTGACCTTCGGAAGATAATCATTACCGTTCAGCATGATCAGAACGGCCAGATCAATACGCACCAACGCCGACTGTCCAGGGAACATCGCCTCCAACGAGCGGACCACCTCCCAAATGGATGATAGGCGGTACGAACCGGCGTCTGTCTGTGAACAGATGAACGTGTTCTTCACCTGGCCGTGCAGGTAGCAGCATCGGCCGGCAGAGTGCGGGGGGAAACAAGACTTTCGATTTTTTCGGGCTTGCTTGCGAACAAAGCAGTTGGCCGTGGGTAGGAGAAGCAACATTCCATATTTGTCGTCACGCCCAAACCCAATCGTCATTCGCCATGTCCCTTATAGACTGCAGAACATTCGCACAGAGTTGATAGAAACATCGCATGACTGGTATTTGCGCACTGACCTCACTAAGAGCGAGTCCCTGGAGTATCAAATCGGCATCGCCACCCACAATCACCGCACTTTCGTCGGGCTTGGGCATATGCTTCAACCAATCAATGCACTTTAGCTCCCCTTCGCCCGGCACGTTCGCCCCAGAAATGTAAAACTTGACACCTTGATAACTGCAGAAACGGGGGAGGTAATACAATAGTGATTGCAACAGTTATGCATACAAGCAAGACTCGACGCGCGAATTATTAGCACTTGCGCTTGTGTTTCAATAACAACAAACGTTCCAGTGAAGCCAGCAGCGACTCCTTCTTCCAATAATGATGTTAGATGTAAATATGACCAGTCGATTCGCCATCCTTTTCCCGAAGCACGGGGTAGAATCTCCCGCAACCGCCAAAGGGGTACCTGAAAATCACAATAATCCCCCCCCCCCCCCGGGAAAGAACTATTGGCCATCCGTGATCGGTCCTGTGGGAACAATGCTCCGTCCTCTCGAGGAAGCGTGGTCAATGGTCTAACCGCTTAAGGCATGCAAAACATAAGAGTACGCCCCCCCCCCCCCGGATATGTTGCAAATCCGGATTGATCTCGACACTTCCAGGAAAAATCGGAGGTGGGATCAAGCGGCGGCTCCACTTGTCGCGAGGCAAGTACGAGCTGCCCTGGGTATGCAAACACGTCCGCCTGTCTGGCCGTGACGTCTTAAGGGTAGGCAGAAGCTGGGAGCGAGAGGTTATGGATAAAGAAAGTTTTAACAGAAGCTCAAAATTTACCGCACGCTTGGCGGCAACGGCATTAGGACAGTTTTTCTTGGAGTAGAGCGGCGTCAGACGCGAGGACGTTCTTGGCCGGTACAAACTTGCCATCAGTAGCAAATATTTGATGCATAATCGCGGTATCCCCGTTTCTCTCTGTCGTACGTTGCTCACCACGGTCGCGTGCACTCCTGAAAAGCATAGTACTCCATCGCAGACGCCACATCTTCCATGAACTTGGTTCCCGGGGAGAGGTGGAGGGCGCTCATTCGATATTTCGAGTTGCGTTTGGAGTTTTCCCGTCGGCTTCGCTGGACAAGCAGCTTCGCGAGCGGTGCGCTGCGTGGAGTGGTGCAACGACCGGAGGAGGACGGCGGTACGGCAAACCCAGAGCAAGAGAGATAACTGAGATAGATGCAGGCATGATTCGAAACATCATTTCAAAACTGCTGCGGTTGCTCGCTAGACTGCCCCGTTGTTTCAAGTCGTTGATGGACAAAGAACCAGCCCCCGTTAGCATCCTCCATGCCTAGACACAGCAGTAGGAGCATTCCTGTCGCATTTCGCTCGATTATGTGTCGCAAATTCTCTGGTACAGGTTAGAACAAAACCAGCATCGCGCTATAATAGAAGGAACCTTGAGAAAAAAATGGTCAATCTGCGACATGCTCCAAAATCCGACAAGAAGGCTGCACCTCACCTTCCGTCGAACGCGAAGACAACACTCTTTCGAGGCGGACAACGCTTGAGCGTGAGGTTGACATCCCTAAAGATGCGACGGATGGCGTGGTCTTCATCTCTTGCTTTCCGCATCGCCACGTGCAGGATCTGCATCAACGCAGGATGTCCACCGAACGCCAACCAGCACACAGGTGGGTGGGCGTTGCGTATCACCAGGGCTCTACAGGACGTGCCGTCACAACGTTTGGCGCACTGTGCAGACAACCGTTGCGAGCAGCTCTACGCATGTAATCTCGCTTCCGGCGCAGTGTGCGCCATGCCAGTGTACATTGCATTGAGTACCGTGTGCGGCAAACGTAACCCCTGTGCAGAGCCAGTAACCACGGATAAACCTCCGATTTGCGCGACTACTCATGTTCCCAACCTATCCTTGTATACCTGTAGCGCGTACGGGCTAAGGAACAGGTGGCAGCCCCCCGCCCCAAATACACTTCCACACAAAATCAGGGGTAAATTTCTTGAACCTAGGCCCATTAGCTTTACTTCAAGGCGCCCCCCTCCCCCGGTGTTTGCCATCGGGGTTGGGTTTTCGTCGCGTGGCAACGACGTTGTAAAACAAGCTCCCCCCTCGGTGTTTGCCATCGGGATTGAGTTTTCGTCGCTTGGCAACGGCGTTGTAAAACAAGCCAAATCACTTCGTGAACTCGGCAACCAGGTTACCGCTTTTTTAGTACCTCTGTTTTTTTTTTACGGTAACCATAACGAGATCATGTTGTGCGGGGTCGAGAACCCTCACTCCGCGCAAGGGGGATGATCGCACCACGTTGTGTTCAAACGGTAAACCATCCTCGAGGCAGTTACACAGTGCTTATAACTGTCTCTGGAAGTGAAACCACCAGAAAATAAATTAAGTCATACGCAGCTGTCATCCATACGCAAGGAAATAACCACAAGATGCCCAACACCCTTACCAGGATGCAGCGCACCCTTCATGCGACTCGCCGAATACCTCACGGCGCTTCGCGCTTGGTGATGTGAGAGCCTTGTCCGGTGAGAACCTGGCTTGCTCCTTCCCGGCTTTGTTGGGATGCGGGGTCAATGGTTTAAGGATTACGGCATCCCCCACTTAGGGGTCCCCCCCCCCCCCCCCCCAACCCTTTCCTGGGCTCAGACCTGATTCATGTCTATACAGACATGGTCGAAGCTTTCCACCCGAGATGCGTCTGTGACAGCAGTTGGAAACTCCTGGACAAACCATTTGTGAAAGCCGTTGATGCCAGCCTCCGCACATATGATCGCCTGTTAACCGAAACGAAAGCATTTGTTACGAAACAAGTACCAGCAACAGACACCGCCAATGAGCGGTACAGCAGTTACATGTGTCGCGGGATGGTGCGTACAACACGTACCTCATGGAAATTAACACATCTGCGATTGGTGTTTCTACCCACGGAACTGACTCTGAAGGCCCAAAAGCACACCACTCAAGCATTGGCCTGCATAGCGGCAGGGTGTTGGGTTGGACTTTGGGGGTGGGTGGTGGGGTCCGGGCGACAGACAGGTACCTATGACAGCTTGTGCTGTGCCGTTTCGAAGCCCTGCTTTCTCGTGAGCCCGACGTTTTTCGGCGTCGACGTTTAAACCGATTTCTGCTGTTCTTTCAGCTCCCGCACGGGAAGAACGTAGTCGGCACGACCCGAGATTGTCGCGCCACGCGATGTGTGGTGTCAAGAGCTGCCAGCGTTGGACCGCCGGCATACTGTTCTGAAACTCAAGTTTCTTTGGTTCTCTCCGGATCTCTCCGCGGGTTTGCATGACGTCAGAATCAGCTGTGGTCACAAATGGCGAAAAACGACGCCAGCAAGTCACAACCTTGCATATGGCAGCATGTGTCTCTACAACGTTAGCAACTGCTGTCAGCAGTCTCTACCTGCCACAGGTCTCAGTCTTTCTTTCGTTCCTGCGGCTCCCGGACGGGAATGATGTACGCACAGCGCGCCCTGAACCACGACAGCTACCCGCACGGATCAGATTCGAAGCATGTTCGTTCTTTGTGTCGATCGGTGCTTTTAGGAACGAAATTCAACTACATAATAGGCTATCTAGCGATACCCCCGTGCACAGCAAAACTTGCGTGTATCTACTCATTGTACATGACTTACGAGATGGTACACAAGAACTTTAAGCCATGCGCGGGGTGGGACTACTGCTGTAACACTGCTGCTGGTGTAGAGCCAAGCGGGGAAAATCTCTTAAAAAAAAAATGGAAGAGAAACAGACAGAGACAGCTTGCTGGATTCCGAGGCCGTCTTCTGATGTTGCTGCTGCTGCATTGCTGTAGTCCTACACGGCCATAGCATCAGCCAGACTAACACACAGAACAGACACATTTGACACACACGCACGCAGAATCGCCATCTCGTGTGGATGCGTGCTCCGGGATGAGCTCTATGCAACAACTTCCCGCACCATGACCATAAGGTGACGCAATTCTTTCAATAGCCTGCGAACCTTAGAACTCGCGTTTACGTCTATTTTGCTTGACGTGATGAAAACAGCAGGTAGAAGTATCCACTTACGCCACGTGCCGATGTTCTCGACAACTACACAGCAGTACCTTCAAACACTCCCTTCCATCTTTTTTCCTACGGGTAATACACGAGACCGGCCCCCATCGGGGCGGGCGAAGCATCCCTTGTAACTGTAACGTTTGATGGTAGCGTCTGCCTGGCACGAGGAACACTCCGGAGAACGAACAAAGTTTTCCAAAGTCGGCTTGAATGACGCCAAATAATGCAACCCGTTTGAAGGCTAGGTTCCTCCGATTTCACAATTTCACCGGACGAACCCCCCAAACGCACCGGCCAAAGGACCCAGCGGTTGTGGACGAAATGCATAGCACACCATCGACAACAGCTGAAGCTGGCGCAGCAAAGCGTCCTCGGTGTGGTTGAGAAGGGGGAGCGAGAGGGTAACATAGGCTCTTTCGCATGCTTCGCGTCTCCGGAGCGGGTGAACGGACTGGACGAAGCGGCAGCATCATCTCGTTCTGCCGTATCGCCCCGTACGTATGCAGCTGCCGCTTCGTCCAGTCCGGTCACCCGCTCCGGACCACTACAGGCGAACACCGAGAAAAACATTTATGCCAAAATTGAGATAAATTTGTAGCGTAGACGCAGCGGTAATACTACAACAACGCGAGCCCGTCGTAAAATTCGTGTTTAGACCCATGTTTATGGTTTCAAAATGTTGGGAATAAATATTCAAATGTTGTCAAACGTTTGCGCGCGAATATCTGCCAGAGGAACATTTGAGTACCGTTTTTATGCGCTAAAAAATCTTATCGTGTGGTTTTCTCGGAATGCATCGGAAGTGCGGCGGGAACCGTGGTCTACTGCTACCAACGATTTGTGACAGACAAACCTCAAATGCGTCATGGAAACTGAATGTAACGAGCTCGCAAAGGGCTCCCCACAACCCTTGATCCACTGAGCTGATGCTGTGCCCGCCAATATGTGGCGATAGCGCTCCGAGCGTGCGAGAAAAATTGTTCTCGGTGTCAAGAAGAGACCAAAACGTGCGTCAGCGCTTCCTAACGGCAAAAAGTCGGCCGCTTGAGAGGACACGTGAGTACAAAACTATCCAGCTCTCGTCCTCTAGACCATCGATTCATGTTTTGTCTTCTTGGGTGTGTTCTCCATCAACGACTCTCATCCGGTTGCGCTTGGGTTGGCAGTGGCCGTGCTCAGCCGGCAGCGAGACACATCGTTGTGCGCGCAAAGTTGTGGACACAACCTTTTTTCGGTCTATTTTTTCACTTGAATATAGAGGGCTTGTTCCTTCGTCCCAAAAAAGACTATTTCAAAACATCGAGTTCACAGCGACGTGCCTCCCTGCCTGTTGAGTACGTCCACTGCTGAACCACGCACACCCGGATGAGAGCCGTTGATGGAGAAGACACCCAAGGAAGCAAAACATGAATCGATGGTCTAGAGGACGAGGGCTGGATAGTTTTGTACCCACCTCTCCTCTAGCAGCCGACTTTTTGCCGTTCGGAGACACAAACCACGTTTTCTCCGTGCCCTCCAAACCACCCCTGTCTGTTTGTTTTTTGTGCACGCTTGACGAGCTCCCGCCATGTATGAGCCGGCAAAACGTTGACACGGTGACTCTATTATAGGGTTGTCCGGATCCCTCTATGAGCTTGCTACGTTGAGTGTGTGCTGCGCAGTGGTCGGTGTTTAGGACGGAAGGGGCGGCCGGCTACTAATCTCGCCGCTCTTGGGAAACATTTTCGCGACCTGCCCCATCCCAAAATGTTTGTCAAACATTGTGTCAAACGAGCAACTTTTGCCCCATTTCGAAATCTTTGGGAACATTTTGCCGAAGATTTTCTCCCATAAAAAGTGAAACAAAATGTTTGAAAATTTCGACATTTTCGCAAAGACTTGGCGACCATAAACATGGGTCTTCGGCCGAAAAAGGTGGCTTTTCTTTCTTTTTTCCCGTTTCCCATGCTGGTGTTCGTGGCGGCGGGTCTTTGGTGGGGCTCCGTGGATGCTTGGTGTGGGGGGTGCCAAAACCAAACGGGTGAAAATAGGCGCCGGCCGAGGCCAAAAAAATAAAGAAATAGGCGAGAAATACTGTAGGCGCCCGCCGCCCAAAGTAGGCGCACCGGACGGCTTTTAGGCGAGTTGTCCCCTGTTATTAGGGGCTTCAAGTATCGTGTTTGTTTAGGGGCATATCAAAATTAGGCTTTTTAGGCGAGCGCCTAAGGAGCACAGGCCCATAGGGATGGCGGCATGCGGCATGCGGCATGGCGGCATGGCGGCGTATTCTCTGCCCCTGCGATTTCGCCGCATTTTGGGTCTCGCCGAGTTGCCAGTTGCCAGTTGCCGAGTTTCAATTCGCTAGTGTGGTCGCGCAAATAGAGTTAGAATGGCGCAAGCTTCCCCCCCAACACCTATAGCGTTGCCCTTAGTCCTACGGCAGCTAACAGCGTCGCTGAAACATGCCCTTCATATCGACAGTTGACCTTGCCGAATATGCACCGATCTGCTGCTTTCATCCAGCTACGTACGATGTTCGCGTGCAATGTCAGTAGTCTAAAGAATACCTGGCACAGAAGCAGTTGGACCAGGATGAGGCTCCTCATTTGGAGCTAGCCCAACCAAGCGCGGGCCGAAGGGCGAAGCACCGCCGACCTGCGGCGCCCGTGTAGGTGTGTCACCGAGTCACCGAGTTTCGCGACACATTCAAACCAAATGGTTCACCCGCGTTCGCGTCGCCCGCATCCACGGCGCCCCGCGGATATCCGCTTTTATTATACCCATAATTCACGGCGCCCCCCACCGTCGAACTCTCCAGCTTCCAGCTGCCTCACAGGCCTGGCAATGCTGGGCAGCAGCTGCTGCTGCAGCAAATACATGGATATTGATGCACCCAGGTGGCCTTACACTTGCCGTCGTTGAGTATTAGTTCCCTCTAAGTAATGCATCCTGGCGATGCACGTCGAGATATTGTGCTCTTTCCACCACGCTCCATTCATTGTTGTTGCTGAGAGTAAAATGAAGATCTCTCGCAGCATGCTGACGTAGCGAGTAGCTTGCGTCGGAGTACGCTGTGTCATATGCCATGTAGTGTGAATGGCAGGGGGGACCATGGGGCTAGGGGTACTTCGATGATGATGGAAATATCAACGGATCTATCCAGCGCTGGTGAGATCGAATTTTTCTCCGAATCACCTGTGAAGATGACTGAAAATTGTAATGAATGAAGATGATCGACCCGTATTTTTCGTTTCTACTGAAGGAAACCAACTGCACGGCTACGAACGAGTGCCGCGTACGACCCCCCCTCTCTATTTCCTGTGTTTTGCTGTTAGTTTTCATGTTTTTCAATTCCCCCAAGTTCGTGAGAAGATGCATTTCCAAGTTGTTGAAGAAGAAGCTCCCCCGACTCGAACGGCTGAAGGAATGCAACAACAACAACAACAGCAGTTTACACGCATGCATTCCTCAGGGGGGGGGTCAAGACACAAAATATGCCAGCAACAAGGGGTTATCCAACTTCCTCTTGCGGGCGTCCGTATCTCTGTTATCGCCCTCTGCCTTTCTCTTTGGAAGAATTGCCGTGTGAGCACTCCAAACGGGAGAGAACCAAGACGAGCCGACAAGCTAACGTTACCTACCAACGAGGAAAGACGGACACCGTTTTGTTCTGCGACAGAGCAAGAAGCGAGACTCGTGCCAACACACCAATCGTCGTCAATACTTCGATTGGGGGACTGCGATGAGCGACAGGCTTTCTTCCTCGATCACTTCGCCCGACTAAAACACAAAAACGGACGTTGAACACAATGAATGGAGGCACACGCAGAGTTGGGTTTTCGCCTGGGCTGCACGGTCTTCCAGCCCCCGTACCTGCTCTCTTGCTACGTTGGCATGCAATCAAAGTGCTTCTCGAACATCTATTTAGTGGAATCAACACTCCCAATGAATCCCGACACTGTTCCCTCACATATCTAGCCTTCCGTTCCTCCAAAAAAAAACTTCAGTATACATTTTCCCCTTTCGCTTGACGCCTGCCCTCAAACTACTATTACTGTTCCAACAAGACCCCCTCTTCATACAATGCGCCACCGTTTTGTCACTTCTTGCCGTGATTTTCCTCGGGCCTCCGTCATAGCTAAGATACCCTCGCGGTGCCCCAAAACCGGAGCTCGGCTTGTCTCTCCAACATCATACGTACGTGGAGTATGGCACCGCCCCGCCGCACACAATCGCGACTCACTGCACGACGAACTTGAAGCCCAGCTGCAGGGGTGGGGCAAGCCATACTAGTCATGTCTTCCCTACTGGACCAATTCGGGGGTGCGTTCTGATTGGCCGAAGATCCCTGCCGGGTAAATAATGACAGCCAGGGTCGAAAATTCAACTACTTTCGATGAGTTCCACCCGACTTCTCGATGTGTCCGGTTTACTGATTCGATTGGCCCTTGGATCCTCCTCTAAATCTTCGTAGTACGACCGAAAATACACGAACTCCATGAGTATTGTCGATCCATCCAAGAAAGGCTTACCCACGACAAGGGTGTACATCGAAGGCATGCGTGCTCAAAACCAAGCTATCAGAGCGCCACGCTCAATCCTGTCGTAAAACGCCAACAGGCCAGTACAACCACCACTATGCACACTCGTCGTCACTTACAGGCATTGCAGCCTTGCCAAGCTCCTTGCGTTGGAGGATCACCCTGCTGTTTTGCCGCTACCAAGGTGATGCCAGTATTCCGGGGAGCGAGTCACGCCCCCCTTAGGCTCGCAATTACAAATTGGCATGGCCTCAGCAGAGTTCGGGCGTGGCGCAACCGCGTTACTTGGGTTTGTTGCTTGCATCCCCAAGAGCGGAGCATTGGAAAGAATCAACGCCCGGTTGTTCCTTCACCGGACCCCGCGGTGGGCACGCACGTCAGCTCGATGATCTTCCCTGACGCCCCCCAAACCTACCAAAACGTGCGCGAGACAGAGCACAGAAAAGGGAGATGAACGAGGGCCGTTCAGAGGTCTTGAGTGCGGTAACAAACGGGCGGAGCGACGGAGAGGCGGGCGCCTCGCACACCCAACTGGAGAGGCAACACCGGGTGGAGTAAGCTCCTGGCGAGGTACTCCGTTTGTTGAGTATTTACTCCATTAAATGGAGCCCGCTCTGTCTCCCCCTACCCCGAGTTCCGTGCCCTCGCTTTCCTAAGCCCAAGTTTCATTCGATATTGTAGCCGATCAAGGATCTCACTCCCTCTGACACGGCTCAGCCCAGAAGGATGCCGCACGGCTGCTCTGTTGTACATCCGCCTTCAAGGTAGACCCATCCGCCCTCCTATTCCGGGCGTCCTTCTTTCCGCCGAAAACAACCAGCGCTAACCCATCTGTCAGCGACAGCAAAAAGCCAGTAGCGTTCAACACGCTTACCTTTGATTCCGGGGAGGAGCCACCACGTCCAACACGTCTGCAAGGGCGGGGAACGCCTGGCTAGGGTTGAGCATCTCGAAACCGCCGCGAACGACGTTTGTCGCCTGCCGCTCTACGATTCGAGCAAAAACCTAGCAGGATGTTGTCAACACCCGTCGGTGCGGGACACGTACGGGAAACGGGGGTGGGGGGTGGTCAGGGTTAGGGTTTAATAGGTGAAGCGACAGCAACATATTTCTAGTCGAACGAATACAACACTAACCTGATGGGTGGCGACGCAATACAGCCACAGCTGATCACTGGTACCGTACCATTTTTCTGAATACAAGCATTCGAGCAGAGGCTTCGGGATATGAACAGCCATGCCACTCTGCTCTCCTTGCACCGAAACTCACGGGAAGGTACGCTCCCATGAACGCATGCCTCCCATGCGTCTTATCTCTGCAATATATTCTGCGTCCGGTCCGAATTCTTTGAGACAGTCAGCCGTCAAACGGCGAACACACGAGAGCTCTAGCGCTACTGCTAAAACCTGCTACTGCTGCTGTCACGACTGGTGATGGACAACATACCCCGTGCACACACACACGCCATTTCATTGGTCAGCCGGTTAGCGCGGTGATGGTAATAAAAAGACACAACGCACACACACACACCTCTCGCGCAAACTCCCCCAGCTGGTCGAGAACGGGCCCTAGCTGCTGCCGCCGTCTCGGGTCCCCCAACAGGTCGGACATGAACGCGAACAAGCTTCGAAGCTGGGGGTAGCCCGCACCCATCCCGCCTCCGCCGCCGGCTTGCTGCTCCTCGGCGGCGTTGTTCTAGACGACGGAGAACAAATGAAACGAAAGGGAGAGAGGGCGTATTGCATGCCTCAGCGGTTAGACTATTGACCACGCGTCCTTGAATGGCGAGAGGGGGCGGAAATAGGGCGATGGGATGGGAGGTCGAGGGCGACTATGAATGCGCTTGTCGCCATCGCCTTTGAGCAAAGTTGCGACACAACTCGGCATAGATGCAGCACGGCTATTGCTCGTTATGGTACAGACACTTCGAACGTTTTAGGGCTCTGTATGCGGGTTCCGAAATGTTGCTGTACCATGTACTCTTGTGCCGGTAAGCAATTGCCAACCGTTGTCCTCTTCGTCTTCTTCTCCATGGCCGGGGGGGTGATGCGCGACGGAGGACTCGATGTCGCGGGCTGAGGATCAACACCTACAGTATCGAGAAAACCACCGTCACAACGTGGTACGAACACATTCGTCGTTTTACGACACTGCCCAAAAACAAACACCCCCTCAGTGGCTGCGTTGCAAAACCAAGCAGAGCACATGAAGCTCGACGTGTGCCGCCGCCATGCCGTGCCCATCTAGAGGCACGCCCCCATTTTCTCCAAATCGTGGCGAGTTGCTTGCCAACGAACCTCGACAATTTGCTGAACTACGCCCCAGACGGCGTCAAGCTTCTTTTGGGTGGACTCCTCCTTGCTTCGTGGGAGAAGGCCCCTAGTCGCCGACGACGCGAAGTTGTACGAGGCGGCGCCGAACTGTTTCGTCACGGTAAAAAAGCGAGCATTTAAGAACAATTCAGTACAAATGGAGGATGCGCAGAGGGTCGTTCTGCGAGGAGGCCTGTTTTGCCAGGAACAAAAATCGAACATTACAACAAGTCAGTACAAACGGAGGATGCGTGGAGGTTCGTTCTGCGAAACGGCCGGCGCTTGGATAATCTTGGTGACACCGCAGGACAAAGACGCAGACATACACGTCAAGGAAGCGAGAAAAGAGCTTGATGCACCGGCAGCGTTTCGGTGGAGCACGAGCTATGTACGCGGAGAAAGTCGTGGAGAAGTCCATCTACCAAGATCATCATTAACGACAACGACAGAAACAGCAGCAGCAGCAGCATCAGCAGCATCTTTCACCTCGTCCATGGTGTCGAGGAGCTCGTCGATCAGCGCGTCCCTCAAAAATAGGGCGTTGTCCGACAGCAGGAAGCTCAGCACCGAGATCGTTAGGTCAAGATTGACCTGCGAAATACAGCCATCAACCGAATACATGGTGGACAGAACACGTTTGATGGGGTAATCTGAGTATGTGTACCAGAAACAACCTTTGCGCCAGCCGTAGCCGTAGAAGCTTTCAAAATTGAAAATTGTCACCGCTTGGAACTTCTTTCTCTCGATGCGCAATAGACCTATCAGGCCGAGTCGTACGGCTTGATTATTTCGGAGTATTTTGTTTCTCTCGGTCGAGAGGGGGTGGGCTGCAAGGGAAACGTTATCTGGATCCAAACGACCTTCTTACGGTTCCTCGAGGCATTTTGTTTTTCTCCGGGGGAAAAAATGGCCGATTCAGGATTTTTGTGGGTCACAACATGCTTCAGTTCACGGTTTTGGCTCGTGTGCGACCAACAAGACACCGAGCGCCCTGTTTTTAGGTCGCCTGCAGAGGGCATGTGTATCATCGCACGCCAGTGGCTGCAGTTTGTGGATGTCGTCGGCCAAAGGCCTCTCTCTGGCATGCGTTGTGGACTGATCACGCTCAGAGCAACCAGAAAAAAAAAGGCAACATAAAAAAAAAAGTCAACACCGCAACACACTTCCGTTCACGTATACAGGCCGTGTGCAATCAAAACTGGACAATACGCTCTGTTTCTGGGACGCGAGCAGAGCATATGTGTATGACCACATGCCACTGGCTGCTGTTTGTGGATGTCGTCGGCCAAAGGCCTCTCTCTGGCATGCGTTTTTGACTGGTAGCGGGTGACACACGGAGCAAACACGCGGAGGAACAAGAAAAAAGCCCACACGGTCACCACCGCAACACACTTTGGTTCACGTTTGTAGCCCGCGTTGAATCAAAACTAGACAATACGCTCTGTTTCTGGTGCGCGAGCAGAGGGTAAATTATGAGTATGACCACACGCCATTGGCTGCAGTTTGTGGATGTCGACGGCGTAAGGCCTCTCTCTGGCGTGCGTTTTCAACTGGTCACAAATGCAGCAAGCGCAAAAACGGCCCTTTTCGGCCGAGAAGGCAAGAACGTCAGAAGAGCAATGTGGCAGGGTTGACGTGTTCGGCTCGTGTGCGGCCAGCACGACGCAGAACGCCCTGAATTTTAGATACCTGCAGAGGGTTTGTGCATGGCCTCATGATACTGGCCTCTGTTTGGCCAGCAGACGGTGTAGTTCCTCGTTCTGGCAAGATCGGGGTGTGACCAGGGGGTACCCCTCCCCATTTCTAACAGCGATATTCCAGCCAGATCGCTGTTGAAAAATGGGCCAATTTTGCTAACAGGCCGGCCGGAATCGCCATAGGAATTCGGGCTTTTGGATTTTGGGCTGTTGGAATTTGCCATTTTCCTACACGAAAGATGCCCCAAATTATTTTTGGGCTCAGAAAAGGACCCCCCCCCCCAAATCCAATCCGGAAAAAATCAAGCCGTAAGACTCAGCCTCAAAGGATAACACGACACTGCAAATAATCTTTTTACCGCTTTCCGGTGGCTCGAGTACACGCATCACAACGGCGGTGCCGTCAAAATAGTTGCCGATGGAAATATCAACCCCACAGCATATGCAGCCATCCTGAGGCTAGAGCATACCATCTCAACTCCTTCTATACGGGCCTTTTTTTTCTTTCGTCTGATGGCGGACGTAAAGTTTCTGCACTCTCACGATATCGAGGGGGGAGGTTTACGTATCGGGGGTCTCTCTCACCTCTGGGTCCACGTCTCCCAGGCCGCTGGTGGCGAATTTTTCTCTGATGTCAGACTTTGCCTGAGCCGCCTTCAGCTGCTCGAACTCTTCCTTGGTTGTTGCGACCTTGGCCGCTCCCGATATCGTCACCTGCGCACAAATAAAGACAGCGATAGCGGTATGTGGCCGTCGCCGTGGTTGTTGGACCGACCGCGTAGAGAAAGACATCAATGCATTGAATTGTACACGCTGGCGATATCAACGGGGAAAAATTCATTTCGGGATCCGAATGTGTCCGTGAACCGAAAAAGCGCCAACCACAACAACATCAATATATGCATGCCACGAAAATAAACAGCAGCAGTGATAGCAGACAGCCGACCTGCTCACTGTCTCCGCCACGGCGCCATCAAGCAGGCAACCGCAAGCAACAACATGAGAGAGCAAACAACTCACGAGCTGCTCGAGACGACGCCACGCGATAGTCCCCTCTGTGTTGATGAGCGTAGCCTTCATGAGGGCCACCATCTCAGGTTTGTCCTCACTGAGGATTTGCTTCGCCACGTACGGGTAGGCGCCCTGATTCGTTTACGGGAGGTCCCGTGAATTTGGCGAGACGGCGAAGAAAGAGGATTGAGCGATTTGATGTTCCAGACCACCACTTTGGCCTGAATGAAACGTAGGCCGGCAAAGGGAATCATCGTGGCTAGGCGAATCTTGAGACTGAGCCACACCGTTCGGATGCTGAAGCGGTACAGACCTTTCCCGCGTTTCATGCATTTTATGCATAGGGCCATCTTCAACAATCGCATACTCTTCTACGCTTCCGGGGCGTTCTACGAAAATCCGCGCTACTGTACTTATCTGAAGTCAATCGACAATCGCCTAACAAAAACACGAGTGTTCTTGAACTACTCAAGGGCGGGGGCACATTTCACACACATCCATGGTAGAAAACGAACGTCGTTGACCTTAATAAGTCTGAAGTCTGGGTCGACGAACAGCGCCAGCCCCTCCAGGATGGTGAGGGTTCTCACGATTAGTGAGTAGAAGGGCGGCACACGGAACGTCAACACCTGCAGCAAACAAGGGAGATACAACGGACAGCCAGAGAGAGGGGTGCTTGTGGTGACAAACAACGCCCAGTCACGATGGACGTGTGGTGGCCAGAGACAAGGATGGTTATGCTCTGACCGGCAGCACCGACAACAAGGGGGAACGTCAGACGGGAAGGCAGGGGGTGGCGGAGTGAGGGGGTGGCGGAGCGAGGGGGTGGCGTACTCTTATGTTTGGCATTTGGCATGCCTTGGCGGTTGGACCATGACCACGCATCCTCGAGAGGACGGAGCATCGTTCTCACAGAGCAACCATCACCGATGGCTGATCGCTCCTCCCTACTGTGCCACAAAGGTGGCAACAAGGGGGGAAGTAGAGGGAAAAGAGGGCCACGCGAGTATGTGGACTACTTCCCACCCGTCGCTAGGTCGAAGTAAACCCAAGGTATCGAGCACAGCGGTAAAAGGGCGGCACGGCTTGGGACAACGGCGACGCCTGCGAGCCTTTACTGTGCCCAACCCACCGCAAACCCGGAACGGATTTCTCCTTCACCTCGGACAGGGCACCGATGTTCTCGTTGAGACGGGTGAAGTTGAGCTTGCTGGCTCCCTCCCCGTCTGAAGCGTCTAGGATGGCATTCTCCAGGGCAGGGGCTAAAGTGCTCACGTCGGTCTCGTCGGGCAAAAATCTGATTTGAGATGGGAAAGGGGGACGCGGTGGGGAGGAGGGAGTTCCGTGTTGATCGGGCGTGTGATCATGCATGCCTCGCTCTCAAGACCGCATGCCTCGGATCCCTACAAAGCAGCAGGCGTATCACTTCGGGGTTTCGTCTACCCAGGCGGAATTGGGGTCAGGGGACCGGGTATCCAAGGTCGGAAGAGAACGGCCGTAAGGAGGGGCGCGGTCCAACCACCACCAAATTATCGGCAAGTTGGCTCGCACATCACGTCGACGGGAGCTTGATGGGAGACATGAGGCATCTGCTAACGAACGAAAACACCTGCTGTTCCTCGCAGGGTCCGGTCCAACATGGTCACAACTCGAAGACAAATAAAGCAAGATGTGAGACGTGCCATATGGCGTGGTGTTTCCCGTTACAGTTTCACGGAAATCTCGACGAGCAGATCGGGCGACCCCTTCTTGGCCACATGTTCCATCAATTTACGGCTCACCCCATGGTGACGAGGTTGCTGGCGATGAGACGCATGTCCCGGTTTTGGAGACCCATGGTGGCGCCGATCAAAGCGTACCTAAATTTTGCGCAGCGTCCGCGGTGATAGCACGGGTCGTCATCTTTCACAGTTTTGTGCAATGGTGCCAACAGACAAGGGCATTGGGGAAGAGCAAGGGCTCTGTTGTTGGCTTCTCATAGTCGTCCTACAGCTAAAGACGCACCGTGCCTGCTTCTGGTGTAAGGGCGAAGTCATGTTCTTGCCACACATAGAAATGTAACAACGGATTGTCAAAAACACAAGGCAGCCACAGCAGTGGACTGCTAATGAAGCACGCTGATGAAAAACCAGCTACCAGGTTGTCTTTGCGTGCTTTCCACCTTAGCAACATGGTGTGGTACAAGGTTTGGCATGTCTGGCCACACAGCCACTTTCCGTGCTCGTAGGAGACGAGGGGGTATACAGCTGCAAGGTCGATCGAACCGGTTGTCCACAATCCCAGCCGTCCGCACGAACACATACGTTTTTCAAATGCAAATTACAGCAAGAATCCACGGGCGTGCCCTTCCTCCCAAAATCTAGTCAAGTCAAGTGCACACCACCATCATTGCCATCATCACTAAATTTATTCTGTCATCAACAACAAGAACAACAAAAAAACGACAACCGACATCAACGCAAAGATCTACCGACACATTCCACTGCCAGCATTGTGTATGTTGTTCATCCTCCTCGCCTTTTCTCCGCGGTGACATTGGCCATCATCCCAAAGTCGAGGTAGGCCAGGTTGCCCTCAGGCGTACGGAGAAGGTTCCCGCGATGCGGATCCGCGTGGAAAAAGCCTGCCCATGACCGACGCGTCGAGCGAAGCAAGAAAGGAAGGGGCCAAAACAAAATGATTCGAGGGTTGCTACGCGCCGTAGGGTGTGGGCTGCAGTCATTTGAGAGGGTACATAGAGGCGCCGGTATTCGGTTAGAGGAGGTGTTGTTGCTGCCGTTGCTAGTCTTGCTGATGGACATCGCCCGCTAGACGTACGCTCAGGTAGTATGGTTCCATGCCGTAGGCTTCAGCAGGCTCCTGGAGTTGCTATTTCCCACTCTAATAGATGCAACGTAGTGTACCTATTGCGGTGAGCCTGTGTTCCACGGGAGAGTATTCCGTGCGGATTACAGCGCCATGCGTTCAGGAAGTCAAAGAAACAAGTCAACAAAAAGAGAGTAGGACCTCTAGTAGCGACCGTGGCAGGTGGATCGTGAGCATCGTGTGTGCGTCGTATCGTTGCAGTTGGAAACAAGCACTTCGGCCAACCATTGGCGCCCAACACTAATGTTCCTCCCTGTTGTTGTTGCCGTCGATCTTGTTGTTATATCTTTATAGCCGTTCAGATAAAAAAACGTTTCCTGTCTCTGCTCAGTAGTACCGTCTATTCATCCGTGGTGGTCCAGCCCACGCCGACGTCTTCAATGGTCACGGACGTACTGACCAAAAGGCGCACATTCCGAAAAATCAACGAAAAAATATAAGAACCCAGAAACACCAACACAAGTGCATCCATAGACTAAAATATGTGTGTGGTGAAAGCGGCACAGTATTTATCGCTTTCCTCACCCGAATCCAAGACCTGGAGCACGGAGCACTGCAGGCCGATCGTGAGCAACTTTTCCCCGTCCTCCATCCAAGGCCCCTTCTCTCCCTCTACCCACTCCTGAACGAGCACGCGCCTGCCAAAAGACACACACAGCACAAGAACATCGTTAGCGAGGGGAGCGCCTCAGCGAAGTGAAGAGGGGGGTGCAAACCTCTCGAGAGTTTTGTGAGATCATCACTTCCCTCTCTATGTTGTGTGATACCGCCTACTGCACTTGTGATTCATCTTGGGGTGGTTCCTTTGGCATCACCGCAACCAAACCGCAGCTACTGCCTGTCCACCATCAACACGCGCCTGAGCAAAAGCAAGAGCGCTGCACGTGCAGTGGCGCCAAGAAAACAAGGGCTCTTTGTTCGTTGTCTCGCACTACGCCCATCCACGTTAACCGCCACTTGCGGTTTACGACGGCATATACTGCTGTGCGTTTTTGTCATTTTCAAGCAATGATCCGGGGTCCCACGGAGGAAACGCAAAACATACCAAGATTCTGAAGGGTGGTGCCTGTCGACTGCCTACTGCGTTTCTTTACGGAACGAGGACCGGTGTCAGCCTAGAGCTATTCAGCTCTTTTCAAGCATGCACGTGCAAACGAACGACTTGGATCAACTTCTCTGTCTACGCAGCCCACGCCCAAGTACGACGCAACTAAAATAGCGACTTAAAATGCGGCGTCGTGAGCAGAAAACACTGCCGGTATCATGCAGCAAAAGTGCTGCATACTTCTGCAGCTACAGCATTCGGATGGACGCGGCCGGTGCTGTCCCGCGAAAGCAACTGCACTACTGCGGAAAACCCTCTCAGCAATGTCAGAAGATGCATGCGGGAGCTCACCTCGTGGTGAGGGAAAGATCCACGTCCGGCACGTAAATCCCGGGAATGCTTCCGTAGAGTTCCTGCGGAGAGGTTCAGCGTTAGGGTTAGACTGGGATATTAGACGGGCGTAAGTAGTTCACGCGCTTGCTGCAGCTGTTCGCATTGGCCGCAGTCGTCGACAACGATGCCGACGAAGGACAAAATAACGGCGAAAAAACGACACCCACGATGCCACCACCACCACTGCGAACCAACAACGAAACCGACAAACGACATCGACGATGACCACGAAGACGGAGACAATAAGAACAACGGCGACCGTCTCACCTTGAACCTGATGCAGTTGTAGGCCTCCTTCACGTAGTCCAACTCGTTGAACAGCTGTCGGCCGAACTCGTCCGCCACGCCGACCATGTCGGACCGAAGCTTCTTGGCCTTCTTGAACCACCTCGCCCCTTGACTGCGGATTTTCGGCACGGTCACATCGGCAAGAGCGGCGGCGGTATAAAGAGACAGCAGCGGCGGCAGCAGCACACGTTACACCAACGCAGGTGGATTCCACACTCCGAAACGCGGGAAAACGTAACCGTCCCCCCTCCCAAGACTTGTGGAATCTCTGCAGTCCCTGGGACTGCTCATGAGCACGAAAGGCTCCACTGTCCTCATCACAACCTCTCGTACTGAAGCGGGTACACAAGGGCCGCCGCCTTGTTGTATTGAGAAAGTGTCCGGGGTCGGGCTGCCATCTTCCGAACACACTTCAGGACAACGCATGTTGCTGCATACAACTACATAGGTGTTGTTTTGTATCCTTTGTTGTCCTGGCTGTCGGGGCAACCTTCCCACCAAAGCATAAGGCCACAGCGCAAGCTGAAGAACAATCAAAGACCCGCAGTAACCGAAACGAGAGCCAAACAACAAACAACAAAGAACACCTCCTATGCCGAGCAGGTTCACGCCGTCCGCCCGTCGATCGGCAGGCACCCGGGTGTTCAGTCCTTTGAACCCGCAGAACGCGACTAAGAAAAGAAACACGTCACACGCACACGCATACCGAAGCACGCCATTGTTGGTACATTACTTGCTGCTACTGCTGCTGCTACTGCTGCTGCTACTGCAGAGGAGGAACATCCCGTGCAACGCGTTCAACTAACGCCCTCACCGCAGAAGGTACATGTCGACCGCGGCCGATCGGAAGGCGTCTGGCCTTTGCACCTTCACGGCAACGAGGGCTCCGGTCCGGCGGACCCGCGCTTTGTAAACCTGGACACGCAGTGCGCGCACGGTGGGATTCATTTCATCCATTCGGTTTGGGTTCTTGCGCCCACGCTGCCGTGGGCCGACTGCACAAAATGATGGGCGGGATAACCGTCTTTTTCGAGCTTCTGTCCATCGCGTGTACCCTCAGCCTGGTCGTCATCTACCGTTCTTCGTGTCAGCTGAAGATGAACCATTTGCTCGTATGTAAGCAGAGGGAGCGGCGCATTACTCACCTTGAGAGATGCGGGAGGCACGTTAGTAGTACTTGTGCACCGTGGCGGTTGCCTCCCAACTATAATGGCTACCAGTATCTTGTAGGACAACGAATCTGGGCATGACCGCAGAGCTTCGCATGGAGAGGACAACAAGTCTCGGGTTACCCCATCGGGTCACAATCGATGCGCAGACGGCTACTGGTATCTGACGTGCCGACGTAAAACCCACTCACCCTCGACCCTGAAAAACTAAAAACAAGGAACCCACTTTTCTAGAACGATTGACGATTGGCCCACAGAAATGTAGAAGGGACCGGTCCAACGCGGAACGGCACATCCCTGGAGATCTCTCGACGGCGTTATTCCAAGGACCGCCTTCGTGAGAAATTAAGTTCATGAAGAAATAGCACAGGGAAGGGGTACGCACCATTCCCTATCATAAACCAAACTTCCCCGACCGCATTCATTTTCCAACATGTTCATTTCAAACGAAAAACCCTTCGAAGGCTATATCTACCACACGCTTCAAGGGGAGGGATCTGGTCGTCGTGTGCACCCACCTGGCCGATCGATGCGGACGCGATGGGGTCGGGGTAGATGAAGTCGAAAACCTCCTCTGGGGGCACCCCGAGGTCCTCCTCCATGATCTCGAAGGCGACGGAGTTGGGAAAGGTGCCGACCTCATCCTGGTGGCGGTGATTGGAAGGTCGGTGGGGAGGGACAAAGAGTTGACGAGTACAGCAACGGGTAACATGAGCAGGGAAGCCGACAGGACAGCCGCGGCGCAGTAGCAGCAGCAGCAGCAACAGCAACAGTGTTGACCACGCATCAATATCAGCAGTCACTTCTCCGCAGATAACAACAAACGACGTCGAAGAGTCCGAATCAGATACATCCACCTCCGTCGATCTCATCCACACCTACAGTAGAACGGCATTTTGCCAACCCGGATGACGTGGTGCTGCAGGCTCCCTGCCTGAAACCCCAAACACGTAACTCCCCAGGAGTGCCTCGGGGCATGGATACCTAGTACAAAGTCCTTGAAGAAACAATGGAAAACTTCAAGGACTGAGAAGACCCCAACAAAAAAAAAACACGCGTGCCTGCAGCTTGGTGAGCTCCCTCACGTACTCCCGATTCTTGACCAGGTCTCCCCTCAGAGACAAGGCCTGCCCGCTCTTGATGAAGGTTACGCTGCCGGACTCGGCGAGGATCTTGCGCAGCTCTTGCGCGCGGTCCTCGTTCATCGCCTCAGCCACGTGCTAACATAGCGGGAGCGGTAGCATTTGCAAACGGCACAGCAGGGCGTCGAATTAGTACTCGAGTCTCGAAAATATGTAATCGTGAGATGGACACCCGGGGTGATGAAAGCGCATCCGTGGATCGGCCTCTTTCCTTCGCTTTCTCCTTTTGTTTCGGTTCCTCTTCGTCTCTACATCTGTCTGCCTGATGGTCTGTCCATCTGTTTGCATATCCGCCTCTCTTGCCATTGATCCCAATGATGAGTGTCGGGGTAGCTTACACCTATGGTCCTCCAATTGTCGCAAAGCTATTTCTCTACCCCGCTTCTCTCCCGCTCTTCTTTGTTGTCTCTCGTGTTCACTGCCTCTATGTACCGCCTCGATCGGCCGTGGAATACCCTCCGCCTGATCCTCCCCCCTCCAACAGGTGGACTCCTTCCACTCTGCGCTCAAAAAACCACCTTGGGCAGAAAGGGTGCCGTCCGCTTGTCGAGCTGCTGCTGTGCGTACCACGCCGTGATGGGCGGCCCAATGCGGATGAACCTCCCCAAGACCGCCCACAGCTTCTTCGAATAGTGGTCCTCGATGCGATCGCCGTCGTACTGCTTGATCGGCCAAGGCTCCTGCGAGAGAACAAGACAAAACACCGCACCCAGCAGAGTGGCGGTGCCAGTAAACATGGGGTGGGATACGGCAGGGAGGACACACACACACACACAGAGAGAGAGAGAGAGAGAGAGAAATAGAGAGAGAGAGAGAGAACCTGCAGATTGCCGCAATCCGATCCACCGGTGGTTTGAAAGATGAGTGTAAGGCCGCCCGGGGTTCAACAGCATGGGAGAGAACGGACACCCAAGACAACGATACACACGTGCGTGAAGCACGAGCAAAATTGTCGGCACGTATCGACGAGGAGATCGAAATATGGCCCAGGAGGGACACTATCACGATAGTATCAAGGTCTTCGTGGGGGTTTGCACGGTGTGTTTAGGTTTGGGGTGGGCGGAAATTCCCGGCATAGGATACCAACATTAGGAGGGTGACAGGGGACACGGTGCGGGGGATGAAGTGCTACACATTGGGCAGCGTGGAGAGACGCGCAGGGGCGATGCGCACCCCTTCGTCATAGGTGCATATGCTCACGATTGGTGCTAACATCAGCTTCGAGAACCCTTCTGGGTGAGCAAGCACGGGGTGTAAAATACGCCACCCCCACCACCCGGGCGAGGCACGCCCCTTCCTCATAAGGGGATAGGCGCACGATTGGTGGAAACAACAGTTACGAGTAATCTTCTGGGCGAGCAGGCACGGGGTGCAAAACACAGCACGACATACGTTCCTGCCCGTACCTCCAACTCCTCTCCATCGTCGCTCTCGCCGTCGTAAACAGCGATTCCCCGTTCCGCACCCTCGCCCTGCCGAACGCGCCCACCAGTGGCGACCATTCCAAGCTCGCCGACAACCGGTCGGCCATGGCTCCCGTACCGAAACTGTTGTTGTGATTCTGGCCTCTGCTGCCGCTGCTGCTGCTGCCATCCGTCGCCATCAACCCCTGATTGTTTCGTTTTTCGAGAACGAGCCGTGAAGGGGGTCCGTATCGAAGGAGGCAGTGTGCAGTGGGTGTGAAAGGTGGGCGTGGAGAGCGACAATCTTTGTCGGTGCAGCTACGTATACATCTCATGGAAACATTCTGCCGTTCGTGGAAACACATGTAACATGCTTGTCAGCAGGTAGCAGAACTCGGGGTAGTCCCTCGTTGCCAAAACCAACGCACGTTTCAGAACTCATCACTGGCGTTCGATCGCACTAACAGCACCCAGATCCTACACCAACCAGGGTACCACCTGATGTGGTGCCCTGTAGTACCAAAATCGAATGCGTACACGAACGCGGACGGAGCGGAATTACTGAGGCCGTGATTTTTTTCTGCACGTCGCCTGGTTGCGTGAGATATGATGCCGGAATTAGCAGATAAAACTCCGCTATTATAGAAGCTATCTGTCGTTGGTTTCTGTTGACTTGCGGACCCTTCGGATCCATTATTTTTTTATTTTTCTTAATATGACACAACGAATCCTCTCTATCATAGAAAAGAGTCAGCGACAGATTAGCAATGAATTCATAGCGTCAGAAAAAGCTACCTGCATATCTACGATTTCCCAGACAGCATATAGGGACATTTCCCCTGCGGGTAACAGGCTCAACAACATTTGGTAGCTGCCATTATTATTTTCGTGTACCTTTTTCGGGTAAGTTAGCCTGTGACCACGGGAATCGACCGCGTCAAGTGTTTGAATACTGTAGTACGGACAGAAGAAGGTACTGGGTGTTTTCCCGCGTCGATATTCAGCAGAGCTTTGGAATGCGGAGCCTGTTTCGAAAAAACTTCGAACAAAGCAGGCAAGCCGTGCAAGTACTGCTGTACTGCTGTACCCCTCCTGAGTTCTACTTCGATATTTTCAAGGAAAAGCAGCAGTACGAGCATAAGCTTTGACGAGAACACGCGACTACGTGTGATAAGCAAGATGTGGACAACACTGATTGTACCTCTGAAAACAGCAGTAGTCAAAGCAATACCACAAGGTATGCCTGGTAATTGTAGGTTGTAGGTAACGCAGCAGAGCCGCACCCATTTACGACAGCAGCTCGGATATTTGCTATCCGGATATTTGTAAGAGTCATGAGATCATGGTGGTGCTTATAGCAAACATATGTACCGCCAGCTTTGCAACAACCACAGCAGTGCGGAAAGGTACTATACCTGCTGGGACATTAGTGTGCTAGACGTAAGACAGCTACTGGTACACAGCCCGTGCGCATATCTATTATGTACATGTATGCACAGAACAAACACGCTGTCGAGACGCGTCGAGTAGACTACACTGCTGTACATCTGCTGTCTACTGATGCTGCTCCAACCCCGCGTCGCGGCACACGAAGGGGTGCGGATTCATCAAATACGCATTCTGGCATAAACATGGCAGTGAATAACTGCTGACAGGTTGCGATTACATAGTCAGGCAGTGCAACCCAGCGCCTTCTTGCTAACTCTATACTTGCATACAGGATACAAAACTGGTGTAGTCAGACACAAGCTGGCGTGTTGCACTTACATCGTGATGAGGCAGCAATCTTTGACGATGCACGAAAACGAACACCCCAGGACACTCCCCAAGAACTTGTCGGGCACCAATAAGCAGCCGACAACAGGACAATCAATGCTATCGGCACATCCTTTGATCTTATCATCATCTCCACAGCACCAGCGAGGTGAACTGATGCCGATGTGCACTGGGCGGGGACAGAAGAGACGGAGCCCCTCTGCAGACATAATGTGGCGTTGGAGAACCCCATGCGGGGCAACCTGTGCCGCTTCATTCGGAACCTGCGAACCTGCTGCTCTCCGTCCCGCCGCTCAAGCCATCATGCTTGCTAGCCACTCTCGTGCGACAGCGGCTCGAGGGCCTTTGAGTGTCCAGCGTCTTCCGAAATAATGGATATAATTTGAGGGGAGTCCCAACAATGACCGCTGAGAAGCTATTGGAGCCGGGAGGAGACCACAGCGAGCTTAAACCTCGTCCGTGGTCTCCTCCGGTCAAACCCGCGCCAGCGAACTGGCCGTCTACCAGGAAGAGCAGCAATGCTCGGAAGCGACCGAGAACGTCGTCGGCACTGTCATCCTCGTCTGCTGTCACGACTTCTCCATCGTCTACTTTTCTCCCGCCACACCCTCCATACAGCAACAACTACATCAACGAGGACGTGGCAGCAGATGCCGCGGACCTCGGCCGCACTCGACCGCCAATGGACAGCCCGTCCAGGCTGAGGAACAAGGCATCGCCAGAAACAGGCAACGTTCGCCCGTCTCAGCTTCCTCTTCTACATGGTGGTGGAAGCAACAACGGGAGCAGCTGCAGCGGCACGGGGGACAACAGCGACGCCCACCTCAGCAAGTCGGCGAAGCTGTTGGAGGAGGACCGTAAGAAAGTGGCCAGCATCCGATCTTTCTTGCTGAATTTCCTGGAGGGGAGAGACTGCTCCATCAAAAAGCGGTTGGTGAGTGGCATGGTGATACATCGTTTTCCTGGATAAAGACTTGTATCACGCACGCTTAATATGCCCCTGTCGTCATCCACTGCAACAAAGTCTCAAAGAATGTACATACGTGATCCAGCAACAGCCCAATGACACCTCTCCTTGAGCGATGGCTGTCGGTGTGTCACTTGCAACGAGAGAAACTACGATAGGTTCCGTGCCATTTGATGTTGTATTTGGAACGTGTCTCTTGAAAGCACGCTGTTCTTATAGCTCGCTTGCGTTCAGAGACTACAACACCGGCGCGTCAACTTGGAGTTGTATTGAAGACTGCAGCAGGCCGCACAGCGTGGTGTGTCTCCACACCATGACAAGTTTCCTGGACTCTCCACACCTCCACAGAAACCGTTAGACAAGCAATCGGCGTAAAGCAACGATCTTGAACAAAATATAATGTGTTACTTCATTTCGGCGGTCGTTGCTCCGGTCGACAGTGCAGACAATAACTACTCCACGGCGCTGCATGCCTGCGCAATATCCGGGACATGTGTTCGCATCTCTTTCCCTAACGTGTACCCCGGCGCTCTAGATATTTGTAGAGCAGTCTACTGGGATAGTTACGGATCGACGGCCAACTTCGTTCACTCCGCCGACTCCCACGCAACGAACGATCCCAAAGACATTAGGGTGCCCAGATTATTCCGAAGTTCTGGCATTTGAACACGCTCTTGCTTGCCGAAAACAGGATCTGTATGTGCACCAGACGGAAACTGGACGGCCGGTTACCGATGCAGTTGTCCAAGAAGTTTGCAAACTCCGACCTGAAATGATCGGGCTCAGCTTACGTAATTGCATCGAGGTGGGTTGTGCGTAGGTTGTTGATATGATCGTTTGGTCATCGCGGAGGTGAAATCATGCGTCACTTCTCTGCCTACTTTACCCTTCGGGGTTCAACTTATTCCACCAGTATGGCCACATATGCCGAGGGGTTGTTTCGTCACCTCAGCTGTTTTCGGGCGCTGCCTTTGTACTCTTCAACCGACCGTCGTCTTGACCCTTTACTATGTATACTCCGTGTTGGTCTTGTTTGAGCCAATCCAGTGAATGAACGTTCGCAACATTGCACGTTTTATCAAGCCCGCCGGATTGAAGCTCGCTCGGAGCAACCGGAACAGACAGCCGGGGGCCCAACACACACATGTGCGGCCCAAGTAGTTCTGAAAATTCGGGGGCGGGTCTACTGGTCTTTGCGTCGAATCAGGTGACCGATGTAGGGATGTGGTGCATTGCGAGGCACACGACGGCTTTGCGAGAGCTCAACGTCGGCGGATGTCACAGCGTAACAAACATCGGGTTGAGGTCGCTGGCCATTTGCTGCGACAACATGGAGCAGCTAGATTTCACGTCCTGCACCCGCCTGACAGACTTGGGTCTTCGAGTAATTGGCGGCGGTTGTTGGTGAGAGACACAACGCTGCTAGATTGTAACGAAGAAGCTTTGTGGAGGAGAATGAGGAGATTGTACGTGAACAACCCAGAGACATTGTCTATCGCTGCGGGAGTTGACATTGATCCCGTCGTCCAGAGTTTCCCCACAACTCCCTCGCGAATCCCGACAATATGTTGTGCTAACCATGAACCAAATCCGCCGCCTTCCTTATCAACGCAAATACACTTGGGTGACACAAGTATCGGGTGCGTTTTTTTTAGGGGTTGAGCGACCAACGTACGACCTCGTGGCACGCTCAATAAAAATATTGACATAGCGCGAGTGCTCTCACATTCGTAAACGTTTGTGAATGAAGCAACGGTTCTTCACGGCAGCTCATCGCTTGCCCAGATTTTCTGGGCTCCATCAGAACACAATCACAGTCGCCAGAGGTACTGTTGTCGAAATTCATGCCACACACGCCCCAAGCCGTTCATAGTCGGCTACCGTAAGCTCTAGGGGCGACGTCATAATCAACTTCATGTTTGTTTGAGCTTGATTTCGGTAAGGAGAGCGCTCGGTTCTTTCACCCAGTACGTTCGGTCATTCCTGCGTTTAATCGAGCCCGGTTCACTGCTCGAAATGCCCAGGAGCTTGAAGTCGCTGTCGCTTGAGGGCTGCTCGCACGTGAGCGATACTGGGGTAGCGGAGATAGCCAAGTTGTCGACGGGGCTAACCTATCTTAACATCAGCCGCTGCGAGCGTGTGGGCGAATACGGCGATCGGGCCTTGATACAGCTAGGTCGGAGCTGTCACCAGCTTACGGGTCTCGACGCCTTCGGGTGCTCCCACGCACAGGTTTGGCTGCTTCACGTTGGTGTCATCACTCTTGTGAGATATGACTCGGCCTTCTCAATTTGTTTCTTAGAGCGTTCGGTGCACAGGTTACACCGTATCACACGACACGTGTACGTCGTTCAAGGCTCCCTCGCCTCAAATACAGCGACAAGCAAGAGATCGAACGCGTGGAGCTATTTAGAGTTGGTTGTTTGAAGGTTGCCGGGGTAGCATCGACTCATGGTCGCAGAGGGCCAAAACAGTGTACGCTTTGCCCCCGTTCCAAGAATAATGCTGCAGAGGGCAAAGCATTAGCACGGACAAGTATACGGAGGGGGCAGGGGAGTAGGGAAATACGTTTCTTCATGTGTGTCCGCTACATACGTTTCCGTTCGTCGGTATAGACTTGCGTGTTGGACTTCCTGCTCGGAAAACTCCATGATTTCTGCTTACACTGATTCAGAGCACGCCTAACGAGTTGTTTCTCTTGCACCCCGAAACAATTATCGCTCCCGGATGGATTGAAAGGACCCTGGGCTCCTCTCCGTGGCTCGCGGCTGCCCCAAGCTGGAGAAACTCATGCTGACGGGATGCGGAGGAATCACCGGCAAGAGCGTTCGTGCCTTGGCCCGTGGGTGCTCTAAGCTTCGGGACCTCAGCCTCTCGGGCTGTGGTGGGGTAGGCAACGGCGATCTCAAGGAGCTGGCACGAGGGTGCACGAGCTTGCGGCACCTCAACATCGCGCAGTGCCGGCAGGTGCAGAGGGTGTAGAACAGGGGGCTGTTTCCGGTGTGTTGCGATCGTTGTGGCGTTGATTCGAAGGTCCGCAAGTCGTCTGTCTGGGAGCTTCATTATCTTTCTTAGGGAGCGTAGGGGATCAACTTGTCCGAGATGTTCGATCTCGATGGCCACACGCTAGCGAAACGAAATCTGAGAGATCGGGCGAACGGGATAGGTGACGACGTGCGGGTAACAATTGCACAAACCCACCCCTTGCGAGCACTGTCATATCGAAGACGTGGTAGATGTGCCTTCCCACCGTCATTCAGAGAGATGACATGTGCCGTTGTGCAACAAGAACAGCACGAAAAGAAACCAATGAATGCCCGTCGTGTCAAACTTGGGTTAGGCTCCACAGCGGAACAAAAAAAGAAAAGCACGCGCACAACAAACGAAATTGACGAAGTCGCACGGCGACCGAGCTCTCGCGGCTGAGCGGAGACTGAAACAGCTCCAGTAGACCGATCTTGGAGTCCATGGTGTTGGCAGCATCGTCGATTCCAGTCTCCACGCAACCGACACAACAGGACCTCCACGTCCACGGCATTCTCCTCAGCGAGACAACCGCCGTCGCTTTGTCTGGCCAAACTGATTCCCATTAGCTATACCAACATCAAACAGCACACGCCTGAATTAGGTTAACGCCCACGGACTGGCTGCTCTTGCGCGGGGGCTGAAGAACCTCACCGAGCTCGACGTAGGCGGCTGCGAGAAAGTCGACGACTCCGCCCTCCGCGCTCTTTGCAGCATGAACGCGCAGTTCTTGAACCTCTCCGGGTGCTCGGCGATAACCGAGATGGGTGTCACCGGTATCGCCATGAACTGCACCGCGCTGTCCAGCCTCAACGTTACCGGGTGAGTGTAGCGCATGCACGACGCATGGAGTTTGGGCCCATTTTGAGCTATACTGGGATTGACAAAGCGAGGGGGTTTGTGGTTTGTGTTCGAAGGGCTGTGACACGTGGCGACCGTAAGAATGTGCTCTTACTGGGTTGTACGAAAGCTTCGCGGGGAAGAAACCCAGAGAGCATGATCGCCCAACGTTGTTCGGTTGTCTGCTCGATAGTAACTAGCTGATGGACATATATGCTGTTGATGGATGGCGTCGTGGCTAAATAGACAAGGATGTCCAACCTAAGTCTGAACTCGGTGAGATAGTATGGCCTGAGCCCTGACAGTGAGAATTCTTTGAGCCAAACTGGGACGAAAACATCCACTACTCTTGTCGATTTGGTGGGTTCTAAGGTCCATCGTAGTGCCTTTGAAAACAGAGTAAAAAGGGTTGTGTTGTTTTTAAAACAACACAGACACCCGTCAGATGCTTTTCACTGACTGCCTCCTTTCGCCGCTTCTGTTCTCCACGGCAACAGTTTACGTTACTTGGGAGAACGGGGAAAACAAGGTATCGGACGAAGGACCGCATGGGTCCTACTTCGATACCGACGGCGCGACAATAACGATAACAGCAGAAACAACTTTGCCCTTGTTTGTACAGGTGCCCGGGGATAGGGAGGCGTTTCATGGCCGAGCTTTGCCACAGCATGAAGCTGTCCGAACCGGCCCAGGCATTTTTTGGGTTTCAGGTGAGCATATGATGTTTTCCAAATATTGTTGCACTTTCGTAGTTCACCGACAGTTTGTCCTGGATGCTTTTCTTCATGCTGGCCCCAATCAGCGTCTGGTTCCCGACATTGTCGAAGCCTGCCGACGAAGAACGGTTCAATGCCTACCCACCCGCCATTTTACCCGAGATGGTAATAGTCAGCAATGCAAAGACTGAGGTAGCCGAGAAGGTTGCCATTCCTCCGCTCTCCAGATCATCGTCTTGATCGCCAATACCTCGACATGCTTCGCCCCGTATTCTGAAGGACACCATTATGCCAGGCAACATACTACGCCCTCCATTACAGTTTGTGGTTGCGATACAAATTGCAATACCCCATATGTATTCACCCCTCCTTCGTCACTCCCCGCGAATTCCGCTACTGGCAGCCTCGCAAGAACGCAAAAGAGTTGCTGGCCAAGAAGGAGGCCACCAACAGGCGGATAATCGCCGCAATAGTGGTACAATCGCTGATGCGGGGGCGCCTTGCCCGTGGGCGATCCAGCATCGTTCGAAGGTATGCAGCCGTTGTTCGGTGGTTAGACTGAAGGCGCCAGGTTGATCGTCTCCGTTCTTTCAAAGTGATTGAAAGTGAAGCAAGAAATATTCCGGGCGAAAAATTGGTATTTTCACGGCTGTAGGCGAGTAGTCTTCAACATGCATGGTGAACACGGAGTACGACTCGTCCGAGGTACGAAAGCCGGTTCGACTAAAATCCATGCACTTCAATCGTACGCACGCGAATCGAGATCGCTTTTCTTGAAGCCCGAAATTCATGAATCCCGTATGCCTGGAGTGTTTGTGGAATTCCACCCAAATGGTACACCCAAACGTGTACAGGTATTCCCTTCCATGCTCAGGAAACACAAAGACATGCCATTGCAGGCGAACAGGTTGCATCTGAATCCCCACAAACCCTCCTGTTTGTCAGGAATTGGATAATTAAAACGCGACTAGCTATTGCGCAGGCCATCATCCGAGGCTACTTCGTCCGCAAGTGGTATCGTGCTTGGAGAGCCCAGGTGCGCGTAGAAGCTCGGTCATACTTAGAAGGAGTTCCCAGGACTGTTCTCGGTACCGCGACGGAGAGCATCCTGCTGTTACCGAACTAATTTCATGGTGGTGTCATTGATATTGTTGATACTTGAACGGAGTTCGCAATTGTTTGCGATTTCTCCTGATTTTTCAAAGTCTAGAGGTCTGTTCTCGAGAAGGGTATCAACCACAGTACTTGGGTGTGAGGTATTGATATGCTTTTCAACTTTGCCGATGATGTACAATCGTCTGAAGACTTACACAGTTTCTTCCTAGAAGGAGGTGTCACAGCAAAAGGCCGACGGCAGCCATGCTGGTAAGGTCCCCGCTAGTGCCTGAAGGAAAAAACCTACCGATCATATATCTTGGGGTCATCCATGAAGCGCTTGCCATCGGGCAACAACGGAGATGGTCCGAAACGTGCAGTTGGCATAGCCAATCGTATACCCCAAGGAAATTACGTCATGCCATAAGAAAACATTAACGACTCGCATGGTGGTTCCCCGAGCAGGTTCGAGAGCAACGGGCGGCGGCAGCCATCCAGGCAACTTGGCGGATGCTAGGCGATCGCCGTACAACGGAACGACTCAGGAGGGAAAAGCTGTTCCGAGAACGGGGACAGTCGTTGGCCACGAGGATCCAGGCTGGGTGGTGGGGATACAGGTACATGAATAAGCTCAGGGACGATGGCGTAGATGCTGGTACTTTGAGATAACATCGAGCAACGATAGGCAGCATCCCCTATAAGGCGTATCACGGGAATCGTGATGGGCAAGGTCTCAAGACATAAGTTTGGCAATCGGTCGGTAACGTGGAGTATAGCTGTTTCAGAGTGTTGCTCGTGAAGACTGTTCTCTTCTTGCGGGTGCCTGTCTCTGTCTTTTTCACTCCTGGGAATGAAAAAGGATTCGTCTGACACCACGAAGAACATATGCTGGTCGCTGGGTGCCGACAGGACCAATGGAATGTTTTGTAAGGCAGCGATACGCGAGGAACCTGCCAATATGTTGATGGGAACATGTGTGGGAGATGTGTGGTCAGCCTCAGGTCTAGTGCACCCGATATGATGCGGTGGTTACTCTAAGCAATCTACCCCTTCTCATACATGTTGCAGAGGTCGCGTCCGCATGGTAGAGGTGAGGGCTATACGAGCCAGGCGACTACTTTTGGAGGCTCGAACACAGGTGAGAACACTGCTACGAAGATTGTGCGACAGGCGGCGTCCTTTGTGCCTTGCGTCACACAAGCTTACGCAGTCTTGGGAGAGCCGGCCGTTCGTCGCTCGTTTGGCCAAGCGCAACAATTCGTTGTCAAAATAAATCTCCGTCGGTTTTCCGAGACACGCGGCGGTAGTCGTGCCATGCACTCCTCGACACCAGTAGAACCCGCTCGTCACCAACCTTCATGCAACAGAACCTCTTGAACTACACCCCGGCTTTAGTGCCCTTGAAGATTTCTCCGTCTCTTTCCGAGGCAGCGTAACGAACCTTCTATTTAGCACAGATTTGACATTCCTGCCAATACCCGTAACTTTTTGCTGCGGTGAATGTGTTCGTCGTCCTATTCAGGCTCGACGAGAGCTTGCTGCCATAGTCATCCAGAGCAATCTCAGGCGCTTGTTCGCGCAAAAGGAGCTGCTGGAGCTGCGAAGGCTCCGGGACGAGGCGTTAGAGCGCGAGAGGAGGAACCAGGCCGCCGCCGTGCTGATCCAGAGCCTCGCAAGGATGCGCCAGGGGCGGTGAGGAGATAGGACCTACATCGATTGCCGTACCACAAGAGAGGACTATGTTCACTGCTGCAAAACATGGTTGCTCGACACGCTGTCCGGCATCGACGGGCAATCGAAGTACCAGTGCGCACATTTTTTGTTGCGCCTTATGTCGTTCTCTTGCACAGCGGTACTCGATACGAGAATCCCTGATTTAAGCAGTTCCGGGCATTGGCCTCCGTAAGCCGTTCATCTGTAAAATTGTCTGGGCCATTCATTGCGCGGGGCCGCTGCCTTACTGGTGTAGCTTTGTTCTCTTCATATGCAAGATCCACGTATGTTTCTACTGTTGGCGAGGAGACATGTTTCAAATGTTTTTTCGATCGGGGGCGGCCACGAGAGTGCTGAGCATGGCAAGCGATCAAGGGCCTGCCGTTGAAAGCTCTACCGCATGGCTTAGTGCTCCGTCTATGGGCGTATTATCACGTACTTGAAAACATTTCTGCGACCCTCCGTTACAAATGTGTCTGACTGGTGCGTTTTCGGGTTCACCCAGGGCCGTCCTGGCGGCGCTGAAGGCAAGGAGGGACCTGAAGATCCTCGAGTGGGAGATGGCACTGAAGGTTCAGGCCGCCTGGCGAGGAAGAGTAGCCAAGATGATGGTCATGACCATGCGGATCCTCAGGGTGAGTGACGAGATGCATTCACGAGTATTTGTTTTCGTTATGCACCACCGGGACGTTCAAGACTTTCTGGGTTGGAAACGCGTTGTGGGCCCCATAACTACAGATGTATCCGCGTCGTTGAATGGAAGGGAGATCTTGCTCAGGTTCAGTGTATGCCAGGGGTGGGGATAGAATTTTTTCCTTGTCGGGTACTGCATCAAGTATTCCCTTCGGTGCCTATTCGCGTTTGCAGGAACAAGCTCGGCAAAACGCGGCTGCAATCACGATCCAGTCCTTCTGGCGTGCGGTGCGAGCCAGGCACCTCGCCACCATCCAGAGAGCCTTGTTCAAGATCAGGCAGATGCAGGACGGAGCATCGAAAGGCGAGTGCGCCCTATGTGTGTGTGTTATAAACAGTCGTTCTGTATGGAGGTTGTTGCGGCTGGCCTTATTTGAACCGTTGTGATGCACATGAGAAGTTTCGCACGCTCCCTTATCCCGCCTGCCGTCAAGTAGAATCGTACTTGTGTGTGTCCGACGCCAATCAAACTGGGAGTTACGTGAAGGATTCAAGATTCGTTGGAGCTCGAACGTTTTGTTGGCGGTGAAACGAGAACAGTTGCGGCGAACCAATCGACGGCTGAACGGGGGGTGCGCGACTCGCAGAGTGGTAAAAATGTGAAACGTCAAGTTTTCGTTGCGTCCCATGTTGAATGAATGAGAGCTTCACTGGTACTGGTGTAAAGCGCGGGCTGCCCATACGTCATTATTTTGTTGCTGAATCGAGCAGAGATCCAGCGTATTTATCGAGGGTTCAAGGGGAGGCTACGCGCCAAGGCTCGGAGGAAGGTGTTCGAGTCGGACCTCGGCAGGGAGGCGGCTGCAATGAACATCGAAAGGGTTTTCCGCGGACATAAGGTGAGAGGGGTTCGCCGTCCTGACACTTACACAAATTCCAAGCGACAACCTCGTGCTGCTTTCAAGAGTTGACATCATACAGTTCCAGCTCCAGAATGAATTTCGTTTTTTTTCTCAGACCCGAATAGGAGGGTGAAGTAGGTTTGAGATCTGGGGAAATGGTAGGCGCTTGGGTATGCATTGGCTCGTATGAAGATGCGAACAACAACACACGGCATACTATCGGTGTCAACGACGTCGTAGAACGCCTCGTTGTAACGGCGGCCGGACTTGTACGGATCCTTCATCGGGTGACCGTGCCGACCTTTGGAATTGATTTCGTCTGGCCTCCAACGCATCACAACAAGGACGAACTCTCCCAAAACTAACAAAGCATATATTTTCCTTTATGGGAGCTTTTCTTCACCCCAGGTGTCCGTTATCCCTTGGAGCTGCAGTTTCTCTATGCGCCACTCTCGCTACGTGCGGGATGCCCATTTTCACCCTGCTGCGCATGCCCTCACCACCTCGGCCGAAGGCTGTAGAATTGCTCCTTTCCTCATGCAGTGCTTCCCAATCGGTGTCAAACCGGGGGTTGAACTCACGACCTGATGACGTGAACGGTTTCGAGGATACCATCACACCACCGAGGTGGATGGGTCTTCTTTCCCCCCCCATTTCGTTCTGGACATCTGCACGACGTGTGTAGTGTCAGCAATGCGGAACGTTGTTCCTGATGAATTTCTTCAACGCCAAAATACAGCGTCGACACACCCGGGCGTCATCGTCGTCGAACGGCTCGGAATCTGGGGTTTCCTGTCGGCCATCGCGTTCTTCGCGTGTGTCGCTTTCCTCGTTTCCTCCCCGCTCTCATTCCGGTTCGGGTTCCGCTTCACCGCCCCCTCACACCCCAATGGTGGCCTCGAAGCTGATGGCGTTCGACGTGCAGAGGACCTTCCAATAGTACATGGGTCAACGCCTACGGCGTAGGCGAGAAC